GGTTGCTTCTGTGTAGTATGGTGGATATTCTTTCAAAAGAGTAAATTAAAAATGAATATTATCGTTAATATTCACCAAGAACACGTCGCACATTTCCGGTCGTACTGCGTGTTGAGAATGGGGCTTTTAAAAAGCCCATCAAATAATCAGATTTAAGATCAACTTACCATCGAGAGCCATTTCTCCGTGAATGTCTAACAATTGAAACAATTCATAAATTGTCTTTACATTTTTTCCAGTCAGCAACAGATAACTCTTGTCCAAATGAAAGGAGTTCAAAAGCTCACTACTGACCTTCATCGTTTTGTCTTCAAATTTTATGAAGCGTTTTTTCAGAATGTGACGTCAGTATTATGTGTGACCATTTAACGCAGATATAAATACGAGATTGGTATGGGTTTAATGACAGCAAATTATACGTTATTACAATGTGTTCTCTGAATAATGTAGCCCCAGTCTCTGCTTCACCTGGGGTGATTTTATTCCAAGGCCTCACATAACTTTGATTCGTAGATTTTGAACCGTAAACTTTCTTAAGGGCAAGGACCAATTTTTGGGGAAGTGCCGCCGTTTGAATCTGGCGCCTGAATGAAACAAACAGTGGTCGCTGAGGTCGGTGACATGATGATCTCCTGTCGGAAGATCATCAGACGATATATTGTATTGTATTGTATTGTATCTTTATTTCCTCCTTATAAGAAGATTTACAAATTTATAGAACAAAAACAACTTTAAAATTTACATATTACAAAGTAGTTCTGCAATTATCGCAGCATTTCATAATAAGTATCTATTTACACCTATTCATATAAAACATATATACGCGCATTGAATTAGCATGATTTAAAGAAAATGTCTATGTGTGCTAAGCCCCTTGCACACGAAAGAATGAACTCGGTAAATTGAGTATCATCGAGTTGAAAGTCAACTCTGCTGCCAAGTATTGTTTCTAAGACTATATTTTCCTCCATGTCGAGTAATTTGACACAATTCTCTACTGACAGAGAGTTGAAAATATAGTTTTCAATGAAATCATTCTTTTCATTTATAAGTTCACCACATTTCATGAAATGTGTGACTATCGAGCCAGTAAAATCTTTGCAACGTTTACATTGATATAACCTAAATCTTGCAGGTGTGGTCAAATACAATATGTGGGCTAATTCCCAAAGTTGCTCGGTAGCCTTTTGACCAAGTATCCATAAAACCGAAGGTTCTATTGACAATTGTACATTCGAAAATAATGATAATGAATCATCCGCATTTACTCGGGCACGCCATTTTGTTTCTTCATTTAATTTTATTTGATTAGTACACATCATTTTAAATTTTACTTTGGTCATAAGTTGGCCAGATCTGAGAAAGTCTTGAATTGACTCCTGTACATAGTCATACTCCATTGACATGACGTCTTTAATAAGACCGTTACAGATTTCATTTTTCTGAACTAAAAATGAGGAGAGTCTATATAGAAACAATTGTTTTGTGAAAACATGAGTTGCTCTGCATAGTCTATCAAAAAACAACACCTTTGCTCTATCTATATAACTCTCAATTGACAGTAAACCGAGCGTAGAGAGGACAACTTCCGATGAGACGTTTTGCTCAAATCCTTGCATTATTTTTGCAATTTTTCGAATGGTAACGTTAAGTGCGTGTAGTTCTACATTGGATGTTGTCCATAACTCGCAGCCGAACATGGCAGCGGGAAACACAATTGTTTTTAATAGCTTAACGGCAACAAGGGGGTTAATGCCACCTTTGCCAATACCAATAGGTTTGATGGAGTAAAAAATGTTGAGCATTTTACGCTTAGCTTGTTGCATTGCTTCAATGTCAGTTAATTGAGCATCAAGTGTGTTTCCAGCGTAGCACTGCGTTCTGGTTTCAGGTACAATATCATCTTGCAAGTGCCACATGCGCATTCCTTGACTGTCTCTGAAATGTTTAGTACTTTCATTAAAAGTGATGATTTTACTTTTGCTGTTCTGACCAGAATGATATGACATTCTCCATTTTGAGCTATATTTTGATACACTATTTAATAATTTTTGGAGCTCATCTGGAGTTGTGCCAATAATTGTGGTGTCATCAGCCACCAGTACTGCAGGGATGCGCATATCACCTATTATTGCACCCAAGCCTGTATCGCATAGTTCTTCAATAAGAGCATTAATGTACACCAGGAACCAGAGTGCACTACTGACTCGACCTTGACCTACTCCCTGTGTAATTTGAAATTCTCTAGAGTACTTTCCATTATAAAGTACTCTGGAAGTGGTATTTTCATAACTATCGACAATTAAACGCCAACTTTTACCATTTAGCCCCAGATTAAATAGTTTGTGAAACAGGCCCTTCCGCCACAACAAATCATAGGCCTTTTGGTTATCTAAAAAAGCAATGTACAGTAAGCTCTCTCTCTCAGAGTAAAATTGAATAAGTTCCTTAAGGACAAACACTGCGAATTGGCTACACGCGCCTTCTTGGTATGCAAATTGCAGATTGTGTGGACACCCTTGAAGCTTCAATATTGGTATAGTTCTGTTTGTGAAAATTCTTTCCCAGACCTTAAAAATACAAGACGTCAAAGTAAGACCTCTAAAGTTGTCTCTATCCATAGGATCTTTGCCCTTTCCCTTAAACAAGGAGATCATAATACCTATTTTGAAGCTTTGTGGAACTTTGCACATGCTTACCATTGCATTAAAAACCTTATTAAGAAAATGTAATACGTCAGAGCTACTGTACTTAAGATGCTCGATTGTCACAAGATCATAACCAGGAGACTTGTTATTTGAAAAGGTAGCAATGCTTTGTTCAATTTCGGATACGGTTATTGGATTTTCGAATATGCCGTCATTATTAGAGAGCGACTGTGTCATTAAATAAGGATGCTCGTGATCAATGAGATTCTTGAAATTGTCATCGAAATGTGGCATGGATAATTCTGTACCAAGTGTTTCAAAATGGCAAGCCCATAATTCCCGAATTTGATCTGGATCGCGTATAATTTCAGTGCCAAGTCTGAGTTCATGACCACACGGTTTCCTACCTTTAGCCTTATGACTGTTTAACATCTTATAAAAAAGGGCGCTGTCACATTCAGCAGCAGTTTGAAACTGTAAAATTTGCTCATTTTCGTATTCTAATTTGAGCTTTCTCATATGTCTTCTAAAATGTCTCTTTTTAAGTTTGTACTTAAGAAAAGAATCGTGATCGAGACCACGTGGTCTTCCGGCTTGTATCCAAGCAACACGCGCAGTCCGCATTTCTGCATGAAGGATTTTTAAATCTCCTTTATTCCAAAAGGGCTTTAAGTATTTCCGGAACCGGGATCTCGGAATGTGTTTGCTGCTGGCATTGACAAGAGTATCAGCAAGAGCACGAACAGCTGAATCTAGGCCACTAATTGTGGTGAAATCGGCAGTACTTGTTATTTGTGACAATTGAGTTTTAACATCATTGGAGAATAATTGTTTCTGTGTAAAAGTGGCTTTGCGCCATCTAGGTATATTCCTAGCCTCGCAAGAATAGTCGATTAGACTTAGTGGTAGTGACATATTAACATTCATTATAACTGGGTGGTGATCAGACACATTGTGTGGATGATCATCAATAACTCTACATTGTTCTATGATATCGAACTTGTTTGTAGGTACAAATAAATAATCGACGCATGACGAGGCATTATTGCGAAAAAATGTGTGTTTGGGGCCCGTTGTAAGATTTTGAGCATTAACGGCTAAAAGGTTTGAATCAAAGACCCATTTTTCTAGCAATAGTCCCCGGTCATTTGCCAAATCACATCTAGGTCCACTTTTCGAACCGAGGTGACCGTTGAAGTCACCGGTAAACATAATTGTTCCCAAAGACGAATAAGTGCAATAGAGACTATACAGATGATCTATCCAGTCAATATATTCATTTATTGGATGATTTGCCGAAGGCATGTATACAGCAAATATGAACAAACTGCAGTTACCCTCTGTTACAATTTCTATGCCACATATTCTGTCTTCAATGCTAATTTTGTTTCGCACAATGAGAGATTTATTGTACAGTATTGCTATGCCACCATGACCTCTTCGCACAGCGTCATCGACGGAAAGGTCTTTTTGTGATATACCATGTGAATCATAATTCAAATCAAGAGTGTTTAGGAAACTTAAATTGTCTGGGTACAACCAATGCTCAGTTAAGGTAACAATATGATAGTTGGGCAGAATGTTCGTAAGAAAAGGACTACCATACATTATACCCTTACAATTCCAAGTCATGACGCTGAGTGACTTGTCATTTAGTGACATAGTAATGTAGATAAAAATATGCAGTATCAGATATAAGGACAGGTTCATAGGCAATACATAGATCCTTGGTACAAGTCATCTTGGTATTGGTCGTTGTCCCAATCCTCGTCAGACTGACTGATGTTGCCTTTATTGTAATACTGAGAATCACCTTCCTGAGCATTTTGTGTTCTCTTTTGCTCATATTCAAAATGAGAAACATACGGTCTGGATTCGATTAAGGTCGGCCAGAAATGTTCATTCAGTGCTTTTGCGTAATGACTGGCTAAAACATTTACTCGTATTAGTAGCCATTCTCCATTGAATGATGTTTTCCTTGACATAACCTTAAAACCAGTGACAGTTACACCCCCTTTAAGTGCATAATTAACAAGGTGCTTTCGAAGCGTGTTGTATGGTTGTGATTTGACATGAGCAAGAACAATCTTTTTTGTTCGTGTTCTATGCACACGTACTCCGACAAAGTCATCATCACTATTGCAACTGGCATTATCAGCATCCAAGTTAGCTTTTGTTATGGCTTGGCGATGGGGCCACATCTGAGATTGTCGAATATCGGTACTTGTCCTGTCGGTACCAGCGGACGATGTAGTGCGCGTAGCTGTGTCACGTGCGTTGCTTAAAGAAGTAGATTTTGGTGCACTACACCTTACAGGAATATTGCGTGCGATGCTTGTGTTCTTGCTAGTAGCTGCTTGGGACATGGTGGGTGTATGAGATGCACTGCATTCAATAGAAACATCGGATGCGCTACAGGTGACTGCCCCACTATTGGTTTTAACTGCAGAAGTACAGGTAGCAGTTGGTGCGCTGCATGTGCTAGAAGCACTAAGCGTAATGGGCGTAGCGGGAACATTCGAAATATCCTTTGTACTTGAAGCAGAACATTTGTTGGCTCCAGTGGGTACAGTGGGAGGATTTAAGGGTATTCCCCACACACTTGTGGGTACAGCTGATGTGTTATTCAAGCTACCGCTTGTATTTGGGGGGCCACTTAAAGACCTGGACCTATCTTGCACATTATCGTTGTTTGAGCTTGGAAGTTGCTCTTGATTCATTGTGATAGCTACACTGCGAGAAGAGGACTTTTCCAATGCGCTTACTTTGTTTTGTATTGTCTGGATTTGCTTTAACAGCTTTGTTTTTGTTTCATTGATATCTGTTGTGAGTTTGTTTATGTCTGTTTGTTGATCATTGATTTTTGCCTTCGCTATCTTTAAGTCATTTTTTAACTTCTGTTCGCTATCCTTGCATCTGTTAAGTTCATTCTGCTTTATTTCAATTACATTATTGAGTTCTTTTACTTTTGATTTTGTAGACTTTGCGATTTCAGCCTTGAGTTCATTGATTTCAGTTGCAACGTTAGATTTGAGTTCAAGAACGTTTTTGAGTATAATTGCTAGTTGGTCATCACTGTTTTTTTGTCTCATTGTATCATCGATAGGGTTGTGAACAACTGATTTTCTGTTTGTCTTTGCCTTAGGATTTAACAGTGTCTTAATATCCGACAGGTTAGAAGCTCCATTGATGAAATGGAAAAGATGATATATATCACATGCCAGCTTTTCTTTAACAGAAGTGCTTGTTTGTTTGTTTTTCCTACTGGGTAGACGACGAATAAGCGCACCTGGTGGCATGGCATTGCTGCGATTGATTCGTGCATAATCAAATAAAGCATCTCTGGAATGAACTAATCCGTCAACATCTTGGTGGTCGCATAGTCTTTTAATGAATAACGCTTTGTCTGCACCGGAACACAATTCTTTAATTTCATTAATGATATCATTTTCGGTCTGGGTAGCTATTGGGGTGGGATTAAAGTCATCATAATCACTGAGAAAATCACCACTAGTTGATTCCATACAATTGTCACTATCATTTGTGGAATCGTCATCAATTTCTATATCTGCAGGCACATGCACTTTGGTAGAAAGTGGCATTGTATCAGATTCTGGTAAAAGATCTGCTGTTTTGCGTCGCTCAAATCAAAACATACATTTCCGAGGTTGTCGCGACCTTGCTAGGTAAGAATAGAGCGAGTAGGGCTCCAAAGATGTATAACTAGTCTATTATCAGCGCGTACTTATACACTAAGTGTTCAATTAGCGAGTTATACACGGGGAAGGGCCACACGTCAAATGGCGGGAAATTCGTGCATGGCTGTGGTGTGAAAGGCCCTGAACATGTATAATCAGATTTTTCAGCAGCGTAACATGTAGACTAAGTGTTCAAGATGCAAATAATACACAGGGACGGGCCAAGGAAAAAAATGGCGACGAAATCCGTGTATGGAAGATTTAGAAAAAAAAGTTTATGTCAATATTACAATCCTTCTTTCACAGAATAACTCACTTAGAAGGGTGCGTTGTATCCTCAAGGAGTTCCTATATCCAATTATGTGCAATAACTCGGTATCTGAAGCCTGGAATAGTCCAAAATCGAGAAATATTGCGGAGCTACATTTTTTGCTACATTTTTTATCAGCCTCGTTCTCGTTCACAAAGTTCACAGTTGCCTCAAAGTTGGTTGAAAACACATTTCCAAGAATTCAATTTTAAGCCTCTTCTGTCAACCGGGCACATCCTCAAAAAAAAAAAAAAAAAAAAAAAAAAAAAAAAAAATAATCAAAATGCATTTAGTGTACTTTGATTCCACCAAGATTCATCTTTTAAGTATACACATATAGATGCATTTGGATGCCCGAAAGCAAACTAAAGAATAACGCATCGTGATTTTGATGGGACCGGCTCTTTCAAACCACTCATAATTGCCCCTACATCGTCCGATTGCATCGCTAGTTCCATCTCCGAGTAAGATGGGAGCTTTAATCCCATATCTTTCATTGTTGTTTTGTTCATTTTCAACATAGCTTTCTTTTGTTTTTCTTCCATCCGTTTTTTCTTCTCATTGTCAATTTCAGTCTGTTTATCGATACACGCCATGGCAAACATTTTGAACTCCTTGTAATCCAGTTCCTTAAACGATAAAATAATTATTAGGTTAAACACAATATTCTGTATATATATATATGATATGACCAGTTCCTGCGATGTCACTTTATTACTAGGGAGAATAATACCGTATCACTTATCATTTAAGATTCTGTTGAATAAAATCGTTCAGAAATGGATACATTTGAATATAATTTTAGACCGAGATTCTATGATTCATGGCGCAATATATGACCTATAAATTTATTCTGTTCATTGTTAAAATATTCTAATTTGACAAAAACAACAGAAAAACAATAAATTGCATTTGTGAAATTTAGTCACACATACTCGATTATAGACCAGTATTGTGCTAGTGGTGCATAAAGCGTTTCAGAATCTTCTAGTACTTTTACCTGATCACCCGATACGTCGAATTCGTTGAATATGCCTTCCACCGCTCCTCCTTGGAAGTTAAAAAGAAATCCAAAATTGGCAAATTCTTTGGCAGAAATGTCATTTGAGCCATCCTCATCAAGTAGATCGAATACTGTACGTGAGTGACGGTATATAAACTGTTTCTCTTGGCCATCCTAGATCAATACAAGTATTGTCATCAGGCTATTGAAGGGTTGTTATTAGTCTATTTGTTCGGAAAGGAGCACGTAGGTTATCGCAAACAATTTCAAACGATTCTAACTTGAATTATGAATATTTTCTGATCATGAACATGGGTGTATCTTTTAGATCCATTCATTATCTTCAAGAAAAGTATGTAATGATAATTTAGTTAATCAGACCTAAGTGATATTGAAGGGGCAATGGACCAATCAACATACTTTTTCAAATATGTTGACCTCATTTTCACCAAAATGCAACCTTTTATTATATTGTTGATTGCATAATTAAAATGTGCTTTGAGACATGTTCGATTTCCTAAAACGAAAAGTTGACTGCTCCAGGGACTTTAAAGATACTGAATTTGGATGACCAAAATGAACTGAAACCAATGGATAGCATGAGATTTTTCAATGGAGAAATAACATGGGGAACACTTATCTTCTTCTTTCAAGAACTATTTGATACTTATAGGATATCCTATGATTTTGAGGAATATCATTTTTATCTACGAGGTGATATTGATATCTGCACGAGAGAGCAAAGCCGAGTAGATTAAAATGATATTCTGAAAAAAATCATAGGATGTTCTTATTATCCTACACTTACAAGGAGTGTACTAAATGTATAATATCATTGCAAAGTGACTTTCATGCCAAATAGACTAAATTTGGCGGGAAATCAACAAGCGGAGTATATTGTCACAATATCCTCCGCATATTGGGTTTTCCGGAGTATATCGTTACGATATCCTCCGCCCGGAGTATATCATCACGATATCCTCCGGTTATTCATTTTGCCAATAAATATAAAATTTATTTTTTGATGTTATTATACATTTAGTACACTAAGTGTAGGATAAAGCAAAATAAAGAATGGTTTGCATTAAACATTGTAAAAAATGATTGCATTTTTGGTGAAAATGGGGTCAACATCTTTGAAAAAGTGTGTTGATTGGTTGTTGATTGCGTTGTTGAGTTAAATATCACCGAGTTCGTTTGACTTTATTATTACTGTATATAATTTTCTTTGAGATAATGAATTGATCTAAAAGATAAATCTGTCTTCATTGTCAGAAAGTAGTCATAATCCAAGATATAACCTTCTGAAATTATTTGCGATACCTACGTGCTCCTTTGTATCAAATTTGATATTTGTTTTTAAAATTACCAAACATAGGTTTTAATAATTGATCCAAAAGGGGGTTTCTGGTTGTCGAATTTATGGAGGGGGGGGGGGTGTATGTTGCAAGTGTCTGTCAGTTAGTTTTATCAAGGTCTTTGTTTTTACGCAACTCACAGACTTTCGATTATTTTCTGATAGATTTGCAAAACAATTCAAATGCAATGTACTTCTCGTGCTACTTGGAACTTAATTGCCATTGTTCTGCATATACCTACCTTTATCGCTATTAAAATACATATCAGGAGGTAGAATTCGTCGAAATCAATGCTGCCAGAACCATCAACATCAAACATGTCAAAGACTCTGTAGATTTGAACTTTGCTGATATCGGTTGTGCTCCGCATGAACTCGTAAAATTGAATATCTAAAACATGAAAATAGTCACTATAAGGAAGCTTAAGGTCAGACGAAATAGCATTAACACGTATACTATACTTTAGTAACTTAGTATCGTTTTTGTAAATGAATTACATAATGGTGTGATATAGAGAATATAAGTGTAATGCCTAATAGCAGTTCATCCATCACCCCTCATCCTCAACACGTCGTACAACCAAAAGTGTACGACGTGCTATTGCTGAATATTAGCGGACGTATTGATAACGTGATCTCCTGAAAGAATAGGAGTATTTGGCTCTCACAGAAACATCCAAACCATGCTGCGCAGATGTATCTCTGGTATTAGTTCGTAGGCTATATTTCATTTCTAAACGATCTAGAGCTTCTTAAATATTTTTGAAAGCACGTCATCTTAGAGAAAAGCCATTTTTTCATTAAAAAAGTGATCGATATTTTCAGCAGATGGACCTCAATCATTGCGAAATGTCATAAAAAATTATGAAAAAAATCATTTTACTATGCTCCGACAAAGATTAAATTGATAATCTATTCAATATTTCACGATGATAAGCTTACATAACTAAAATGTCGGAATGATCGATACTATCAGAAGATTTGCGAAGTTCTCGATGGAAATATATGCAATGGTTGCTTCTGTGTAGTATGGTGGATATTCTTTCAAAAGAGTAAATTAAAAATGAATATTATCGTTAATATTCACCAAGAACACGTCGCACATTTCCGGTCGTACTGCGTGTTGAGAATGGGGCTTTTAAAAAGCCCATCAAATAATCAGATTTAAGATCAACTTACCATCGAGAGCCATTTCTCCGTGAATGTCTAACAATTGAAACAATTCATAAATTGTCTTTACATTTTTTCCAGTCAGCAACAGATAACTCTTGTCCAAATGAAAGGAGTTCAAAAGCTCACTACTGACCTTCATCGTTTTGTCTTCAAATTTTATGAAGCGTTTTTTCAGAATGTGACGTCAGTATTATGTGTGACCATTTAACGCAGATATAAATACGAGATTGGTATGGGTTTAATGACAGCAAATTATACGTTATTACAATGTGTTCTCTGAATAATGTAGCCCCAGTCTCTGCTTCACCTGGGGTGATTTTATTCCAAGGCCTCACATAACTTTGATTCGTAGATTTTGAACCGTAAACTTTCTTAAGGGCAAGGACCAATTTTTGGGGAAGTGCCGCCGTTTGAATCTGGCGCCTGAATGAAACAAACAGTGGTCGCTGAGGTCGGTGACATGATGATCTCCTGTCGGAAGATCATCAGACGATATATATTTTAACATAGAATAAACTTTCTGGCCCGTCTTGCACCATGGCCCTTCTTACCCCGCTGTCCCCTACCAATATTTCTAAATGTCGGGTATCTGTCTCAATTCGCCGTGTTTCCATTTGTTTGACTCAATAAAGCCTAAACCATATTTCAATTATTAAATCAATTATTAACATTGTCAAATGTGGCAAGCTGCGTCCTAACACGTGGTCCTAATACTGACGGATGTTGACAAGAAAATCTATATTTTTGTTTTTTCCAATGAATGTAATAATTTGGCACATGAATAAAGAACAAAATGAAACAAAAATCAACAAGTCATTATCAAACAGATGTAAACCACATACCACTGCAACTTCAAGGGATAATTAAAAGATATATAAATTGCGTGTCAGGAAAATGATATATATCGTTAGAATAATGAGTTCATGAGTTAAAGTTAAGCACGGGAGTCTCGTCATTCAATTAATTAAACGTGTGTTATCAACCATCACATGTGTTGACTGATTTTCTTTCAATTCTATAAATATTAGTGAGTACAATGGCTGGAAAATCTCAGTTACGTCAACTTTTACGATGGGTTGGTCTAAAGGGTATCAACACTGCCCTGATTGCTATAGTGTTTATAACATTACATTTTATAATCAGAAATCATATTTCAAAAAGCGAAACTTTTATGAATCTCGTTTTTCGGCTTCATGGTAAAACGCCAACTCATCAAATTGAAGTCTTGTCCTCATCGTCACCAAAACACTTGTCAGATATACCGATTGAGTCCGTATCGAACGTGGACAATCCAGAGCTTCATACGGGTGAAATGCCCATCGATGATGCGCTCCAACACGGACATCATGCAATCAATCACACACTAGAAGATCTTATATTAAATCGGGCAAGTAGACATCAATCAAATGATCATGGTAGTGTGGAGGGGAAACATGGCAGACACAGAGAGCGATTGTTGAATACTAAACTTCCTAGAGCGAACCGGGAACGGAAGAACAACAAAGGGTACAATAAGACAACAATAACAAGCGAGGCTGATAAAGTCGACCTGAATATTGTTAGAGAAGATCTCAAAAGTGACTTGTCTCAAGCTGCAGCAGAGCGTAAACGACGATCTACAGATGGTGTTGATGATGACCAATTGCAAAATAGAGCTAATATGGAAAATGACTCTGTTGAAGCAATCGACGAGAAAGATACTACTGCTGAAGCTGAAGTTGATAATAAAAAAGAATTGTTAAGATTTGAGAAAATGCTTCATACGTGGCCTAAAGATAGACCAAAATCTGCTATTTATTACCTGACGTATTCAAAACGTGTTCCCGCATTGGTTGAATCAATTAAAACCGTTGACAAATATTTTAATAGCGAATTCAGTTACCCAATTATAATTTTCTTCAACGAACTTCTAGCAAGCGACATGGAAAATATTCGACAGTCAACAGAATCAGAAATATACTTTCAAAAGGTTTCGTTTAGATTTAGCCATATTGTACAAAGGTTTGAAAGAGTGCCAACATTTTCCGAATGCGCTAATTACACAATAGGCTATCGACACGCAGTTAGATTTCATTCGTATTTTGTTTATAAGCAAGCCATTTTGAAATACTTGAAATACGTGTGGAGAATTGATGACGATGCAATTCTCACAGAAAAAATCAATAACGATCCGTTTACTGATATGAGCAACAAGAATTTGACATATAAGTTCCTATATAAAGCAAGAGGAAAATACAAATGCCTGGTCAACCTAAAGAGATTAGTTGACACCTATGTTCAAAAACTTGATATAAAACCAACGTTTTTACGTCAGTTGCACGTGAGTGACATATTCGTAAATAGTTTGGAGATTTCAGCCACTAGCTTTTGGACGGGGTCTGAATATCAGAAATTTTTCTCTAACCTCGATGATTATGGCATGATATATCACGCCAGCTGGAGTGACGCTGGTATCAAAACATTGGCTCTATCTGTGTTCGTCAATGAGCAACGTATCGAACAATTGAAGATTGGATTTAAACACGGAGACAGAAAATGTACAACAAGTATTTCAGGATATGGAGGCTATTTATGCAGTCCTGTTAAGAACTAAAGACTAAATGTTTGAATGTCGACATCGACATTGACGCTTAAGTTCCATACAATGCTTGATACAAGTGGAATTTATTGTATAAGGTGTTGCACAATCGGTTACATCAGGCCTCCTAGACTTCCAACGCGAACATCAGTTCTGAGCTCGCGAACTACGTTCCTTGCGCTCGAACCACGATTCTCACGTTGCGAACGTGAAATCTTTAGTCGCGCACCACCATTTCCTCGCTCGCGAACATATTTCTCCACTCGCAAAGAGAGATCCGTGCTCGCGAACAATTTGTACATAGTGCATCCAGGTATTTGAGATTCCAATTACAAGCAACAACAGGATCGGAGTCTGGTTGCAGTTTACATTGACCCTTATACATGTGTTTTTCAATAGAGTCAACTCTCCGCCGCCAATGAAAACCCATGTATTTGTTTTTATTACCCAGCCATTTCACTGAAAATGTCAATGCGTGGAATTGCAAAGTAGTCCCAATGTTTTGTCTTTCCCAGAGCTTGAAGATGCTGTACGTTATCTTGAAAACATGCATGGAAACTGGGAAAGTATTCCAAATAAAAACACTTGCTGGAATTTAGTTATGCGTAATAATAAGAATAAAATTACGGACTTTTTCGAGAAATAGTTTGGGAGCGAGGAAATGGTGAGAATCGTTGTTCGAGCTTAAAGAAAGTAGTTCGTGAGCACAGAACTGGTGTTCGCGTTGTTGAAAGTCTAGGAGGCCTGTACATGGCAGAATAAAAAACGTTCGGTTTTTGATGCATTTATAGATCGCAACTGCATGTCAATAATTAAAAATATAGAACTGTTTTTTCTATAACTTTTATGAGCAAATGTTAGTATCATTATATATTTATTTAAATCCCAGTCACATTTGCTACGGCGGCTTTACGGTCTATTACGGTCTATTTTTTCCATGCCCAATAGAAATTTTACGCTGCCGTGAAAATTCTAAGGTCAGATACTCTACCATACGGGTTCCGTGGAACCTGTCTAAGGTTTGGCTACGGCTAGTTAACTTCTACGGTGACCGATAATAATTCTACACCGACTCTATGTACTGTAAATCACTGAGCCGATAGTAGATTTTCTACGTAGAGCAAATGTGACAGGTTTTACAGTGAGTGATAGTGCGTGAAATGTGTGTATCAAAAAAAGCTAGGCATGATATATCAAAATCAACCAATTAGATCACAGAAATATGCATGATTAAAACCTATAAATAATATAATAAGGAATAGAAAGGTAGGTGCATATGCAGGTCAAAATGTCAAACCTTGCAAAACCCATGCAAAAAGTTTCCTTGCAAAAATCATTCCTTCAAGTGATGCCACACAAATCCTTTGCAATGTGAAAAAAAAGAATTTAGGAATTTACCGCCTTCATTCAAAGCATTGATACAGTTAGTTTAGTCGGATTCCTTGGTTTAAACCTCAGTTTTAATGCTCTGTTCTGATGTGAACCAGAAAAGAAGTTTTAAAGAAATCCTACCATCCTTATATTATATTAGTTCACTAGGTCTATCACAGTAGTTATGCATATTGTTTCAATGTTACATGTAAGTGTTACTGACAGGAGTGAGACATGCGCACTAGTACAGGATTCCTTTCTAATAGTATGTGTAAAATACATTTATCCATATTGATATCAACGAAAATCCAAGAACATGTTGTTCATTCTTATAAATAATGCTACGGTCGTTCCGAATATATACAGGAAACAGGAATGTACGTTCCATGTATTTGTTGGTGTTCCCGTGTTGTAATGTGGGCAGTAGGGGCACTCGAATGACCCACATACCTGGCATACGTGAAGGAAGTTCAAGTTGTAAACTGTGTAAAGTGTTGCATTTTGTATTTCTGAAAAGAAACATAGCATATTTATTGTTAATCCAAAAATAACTAGAAAAACAGCAGATCCAACCGAACAAAACATATTTTATTAATTTACTCATCATTTTGAATTAGTCATAGTATTTTCTCTTTTGACAAAATCTACACCCATGACATGGCACCATTTTAGAAACTCCATCTCTGGTAGAAGCCCTACATACGAGGCACCTATTTTATTTGAACCAGATCCAGTTAATGGTTTTTGAGTATTATGAATTACATTTCTGCTAAAATGACAGCCATTTGGAATTGAGCAGCCATTTTGGAAATTTCCTCTGAAGCAGGGTCCCATTTCCAAAAGATATAAGCCTATAGAAGTCAGAATCCAATATCTGATATAGTCTAAGTTTTCAAACAAAACCACAGGTAATGTACCGAATTAAGTGTGACAGTTGAACGCGCGGGGTAAGGTACAACACGAGGGTGATGAGAAGACCGATGTTTCCATTGTTTCAGACAGATCTGGTCTAGTTTCTAGATATTTTTTTATGTAAATGTCTGTAACAATATTCTAAGTGACAATGAACTTTATGTCAAACCTACACAAACTGCGAATACACTGAGTATACGGTATATTCGGTATTGAAAATGTTTTTTTTCCAATATTACATAATTATCTTTTCACCAAATATTTTGAATTTTCCGTCCTTAAATCTTGTCTGTAAAGTCTTGACTCCTTTTGAGACTCGTATTCATGGTAATATTTCTTTTTTTATTATGACCACCTTGCATCTTTTTTTTTTAGTTCTAATGATACCATGTTTGACATGTTTGATTTTTGGAAATTGGTTCATTAAGGTTGGTCTTTATATGCACAATTTAGACCCCACTCTAAATGGGAAGATAATAGCATGTAACAGATATCCTCAACAGTAAGTTGCTTTTCTCTTACCTGGCTCATAGTACTCTCCAACTATGGCAAAATTTTGAATGCTAATATTGGCAACAGGATACCATCTATCCGCACGAATCTTTGGACAAATCCAATCCGTTCCAATCTGAAAATCAACGTTAGTAATGAATACTGTAAGCTTGACCATGTACATATACATTTTTCGAAGCAGTCAACAGGCTTAGGGCACATTTTTAGAACCATGGACAGATTCTGTATGTATGTATGTAAATATTAATTTTGAGATATCGCGTCATACTAGAGTGAGACTATACCTTTTCAAAATAGATTGATAACATCCTTGATTCCGCACTGTATTTGCTTCTCTTTATAAAAGGATATTTTTTCTGTTGTTTCCTCAATTCTTCCTTTATAATATAATATCCTGATGGTATCTCCAAATCAATGAATGCCAATTGACTATGAGGAGACAAATCAGTTCTGACCCACCTGAAAAGGGAATTATAAAACTACATTTTTGCTTTCTGTCTCGCAATTATGCAAATATAAGTATAAGTTTACCCTTTGACATATGAAGACCAACCACTAAAACAATGTTACAAAAATACATATATTTAGAGCTCGAGGACAAAGTCCTACCGTGTGCAGGTTGTGATGTACATGGTACTAAAGTTCCTCCCTGCCCAATCTAGCGAGATTTCCAAATCGAAATGACTATCAAAGTCTTGATCTTCGGGGAGATCAGCTCCTGGTTCCATTAAGTCTTGGAATTCTACGTTGACCTCAGTCTCAACCTTAATTTGGATTTTGACATCAATTAATTGTTGACATGGTAAGTATTGTTCACATTCCTTTTTTAGTAAATAATAACAATAATATAACAATAACTAATACTAGTAGTTATTTATATGCCTTTTATTCCAGTATGGTTATACATAGAACTCGCGAAACAAGAAAACAAATGTCCAATATTACAATATCTGATTGATTTTATTTTTGCATTTTAGTTATTTTGTGCCTCACGATTAAATATTAAGTCAGGAGCAATTTGTTTAAACTACATTTGATTTTTGTTAATGTGAACATATTACTAATTGTGCTATCATACCTGAATCAACGCAAGTCCGTTACCTCTTGCTGTTATCTTAATGCTTCCGTATACATTAGGAATCTGAAGAAAGAAATACGAAAAACACATAAAACAATTTCCCATATCAACCTAATATCAACCATGTATGACAATCGTTGAAAACAGTGTATAAAAAAGTTTATTTTACATGTTAATTTGGAGGTCCATTTACACGTCAGGAGAACCTGTAGTAGTACTCGAACGTGTAAAATTATTGTCCTCTAGGGACTACTTCGCCTTAATAAGATTTACTTGCCAGATGATATGGTCCCCCAGACAAAAACTAATTAAGAAATCGAAAGAAGAGGGAGATATTCCAAGGGGTCATAGTGTTACACTAATGTAATTAATATAACTCGAATGAAGAGTTGGCATCTTTGAATACATTTGAATTTTCACCTCTATTTCTTGTGCCACGTTGAAGTTTGTCCTGTCAAGTACAACGACTTCTTTCCATCCGGGTGTTGAAGTGGCTGTGACCTCCACCTCCATATAATAGATGTCACGGTTAGGATTGGTCAATCCATAGTTGTGTAAAGCTTGAATTGCTGTGATCGTGTCCTAAATATACAACATGTCATTGGATTAGACACATATGATGCTTCCATTATTTGCAATTATCGATTACAACATTTCGATCAAAATTTCGCCTTTGTGAACATCTACAAAAATTCATTAAAGTGTGATTTGTTAAAAATATATTGTAGCATAACATTTATTTATACCATGGTAGACGCCCAGCCACCTAGCGTCTTTCTTCTGTGCTGTATCCAATACATGATCTTGCTAGCCTCATCAATGTAATTGTTATGCACGTAACACATCAAGGCATATGACGTAGCCATGACCGCAGGTACCTCAATATCATAGCCATCAACTGGATAGAGAAAGGGAATAACATCGACCATCTCAATTGGAGAAGGTCCTATTTCACCATTTGCCCAATATGGCCACTGTTCTCTTTCATCTAAAATTATAAAATGTCAATAGAAGGCCCGAGCTTCGTCTAGTGATCTCAGGATGAACAATTATTGAATCGTCTCCTTTAATCCATTACCTATTTTAATGTCCTAAATAAATATACATAAGTTAATTTTCAAGTTAAAAAGTTGTTCTATGATATTTACAGTAATTCATAAAATTTGATGTAGATTATGTATTTGTATTCACATTTGTAAAGTACATGTAGAATTATTTACATTTCTGTTAGTTGTAGAAAGACTAAGAAGTTAATGGAGTTCATTTGTTTATAAAAGTTGCAGTCTCCCATAATATGCAAAAATGTCAAAAACATAATAACTAAACATCATAGTTTCACATTGGCTGACTCCATATATGTTTGTCTGTTACATATATCCCAAGAATAATTCTTTAATGCGATTGGTTGAAAAACTTTGCATATTTGGTCAGTTATCTCATGTCTAAAAACTGCTCTAATCTGAAGATAAAAATCGGATGAAATTAAATTGTTGGTATAATAGTCAATGTGAAATATCACACTAAGCTCAAAGAACATCAAAACAGCTGTTACAATTTAAACATAAACTAAGATGATTTCAGAACAAAACAGGAAATGAAGAACATAATGATTATGAACATGAGTCAGTGGAAAAGATCACAGTGACATTACGAAGGAAATATGCGAAGCGAAATAAATACATTGACATAGAGTCACCTATGACTTCGTCACACAATGTTTCATAACCAACAACCAGTACCAGCGTCTGCATCATTGTAATAATTATTTTGTCTGCGTCTTTTAAGGTTAATGGGGTTAATAAGTAACTATAAATCTATAAATAATAATATTTATTCAAAGTAGATAGGCGAATGTGTCAGGTCCTATAATCGAGAGTTCTCTACATGTTGCAACACATGATTACTGTTTATCATAATGGGATTCGAATTTCACAAAACTATTTTGACTCTACTTTTCGTAATTTTCCCAATCTTCACCACGGGATGCATTTCAAGACAATTGATGAACGGAGGGGCAAATGCGGAAAATATAAACACTAATATCATCGATGATAATGACAAACGAAACCAACAGCACCATCACCACCACACTTCAATGTCAAATAAGGGAGAATCGGTATGCCCATGTGCAGACGATAAGCTTTGTGAACCTATTTCAACGCCTACTAGGAAAGAAGTGTTCGCTTATGTCGGTTCGCCTGACACTGACTGGAAAGCATTTGATTGGAATAAAATCACGACTATCTGGACACATAAGAACTACACCTCCATTGCACAGCTGATGTGCTTTGCTCATAGTAAAGGCGCAAGAGGTAGGTGTAGCATTTAGAGTAAGCTAGTTATGTTGATCTCTTTAAAGAGGTCTTATCCTCACAAATGATGTTTCTTGATTACCAAATACCGGGTTTTATATCAAATGGGGTATATGAGGTTTGTTTTTCATGACTGGTATGCACTTTTCTTGCTAAGTTCCATTACAACTTTTGGTCCTTTCCCTTTGGCACTTGTGCTTATATATTTATTTCTTTTATCACGCTGTGATACTGAAATTAAAAAATATTCTATTTTCAGTTATATATTTGAGTCAGCTACTTCAACAGCCTGACTTTCAAGTTCCCTCTCGGAGATACGAATGGATATTGACTGAATTCCAGTACACATTGGACAACCATCTTGATGGAATCAATATAGATTACGAGTACAATGTCACGAGAGTTGGAATGGAAGAAGACGCGAAAGCTTTAACTGCATTTATGTCTGAACTTACTGCAGTTTTCAAAGGTCACTTTAGTGGCTATCAAGTAAGTTTCCTTTTGCCATTACTGACAAAACAAACCAGGGTTTAAAGGACTTACTCAGGGCTTTGTATAAAGAACCTCCTACCTCAAACCCACCTACTCACCTACGTTGGACATGATACAGTCATTGAAGGGTTCAATTTTAAAGATTATTAAATCTCAAAATAAGTCAAATTATTAACAGTTCTACAATTCCGGCTTTATTTTATGACAAGACAGATGACAGATCCATAAATAAAGGCATATGGATGCATTTTAATGTGTAATGACCCGAGGGCGCCCCAGGGGAATAGATAGGTCCAACAAGCCAGATAAAGAAATTGTGCTAAATTCGATGCCCCGAGTGGGAATCGAACCCAGCTGGGATGTAGTAGCGTTGCTATCAAGGGTCGTCGTTACAAATGCATCTATAATTCATCATAAACTAAGATTTAATAAACCAAGATCTTTAAAATTGAACCCTTCAAAGAAGGTATCATGTCCCACGTACGTGGGTAGGTGGGTATGAGGTAGGAGTTTTTTTAAACAAAGCCCTTACTCAGTCCTCATCGATGTTGTTTACCTTAATAAGGAATGTTAAATTTTTAAATACTAATGATTCGTACGAGTACAATTTGTGTGATTTTACTTCTAGATATCATTCGATGCTCCGTGGTCTCCAATATGCTGTCTTCGATACTACAATTATGTTGAGATGTCTAAAATGATTGATTTCATATTCGTGATGTCCTATGATCAATGGTTTCCATTTGAAATCGTGCTTTCGTACGCTGGTCCCAATTCGGGCCTTTTGCAGACAATCAAAGGTAAATCAAATGTATTTAGTTGATAATATTAATAAGATGTTTATAACATTTAATAAAATGAAAACTAAATATGGTCAATTTAATTGTCCAATGTGACGTATGTGTTCGATTAAATACTAAGTCGTTAGCAAATGCACTGGGATTTTTATCCATATCTTTGTGTCTAGGGATACAGGAATATATCGATTCTGGAGTGCCATCGAATAAACTCATTGTTGGAGTACCATGGTATGGCTACAACCAGTCATGCACCCATCTAATAGAGGTAACACAGCCTTATGATAGCAAATAATCCGTCGAAACATTTTCAAAGATGCCCTTATTAAGATGTCAGTCACCAAGGAACAGGAAAGCTTTAAACCCAACCTTTGAAAAATATGTTACTCCCACAACCATCAATAGAGAACGGATCTGATAGTATGGATACAACACATACAAATAATACGAGTATCTGACCATTCCTAAGGTACCTCAACACATAAATAAAAGTCATAGACACGTTAAAATATCTGTCAAACGAATAAACCACAACGATTCAAAAACGCAGGCTTTTTCTATAGGATAACTGCTATATGCGACCAAGAAGCGGAGTTGAGACGGCTTACAAAGAGGCAATGGTTTTGTTGAAGACGTCATCAATTGGTGGCAGAAAATGGGACAACACTAACAAATCTCCTTATTTTAATTATAAGGATGAACTAGGTGAGTGTAGTGTTTAAATAATTGATAAGTTACAAAAACAAATGACCCATGTGATGGTGTGAAATAAACACAATATTCTGCTGATTGTAACAAATTCGCGAAGCATTGACTGAAATTATAATTTAAATGATTTTAAACACAATTCTCCAGGTCAAGTCCATCAAATGTGGTATGACGATCCAGAAAGTCTGAAGTATAAGTATGAACTTGTTCCTCAGATGGAACTAGCTGGAGTTGGAATGTGGACGGCAGATATGCTAGATTATAGTAACAGCAGTTCTGTCACATCGGCACAAACAAAAGCAATGTGGGATGCTTTGCCTCAGTATTAAAGACAGGGGCATACATTGGTAGATCATGGATTCTCCTCCAGAAACCACCATATGTATACATGAACACATAATTTGCTATTGAAAACAAAACAATGAATATCTTTGTCTTTTGTCAAGAGGCACTGCCACTGCATCTGTTGTTTTAAACAAAAGATATGGGCGCATCTGTAATGTAACCATTCATCAAGCATTTGTAGCATACCATGTAATATGTTGATATATATCAACACCACTTGCACCATCAGCAAAGGATTGGTGGGTGTGATTCTTTTACCACCACCCCGTCACTGATAGAAGGAGGGGTGTTTATGGCAAGTAACTTCTAATTAAGTTTCGAGTTCACCATTAAGAGCAAAAAACACCTGTAGTAGGCGAGACAACACCTGAAGACATACATTTGAATGAGTTAATAAATAAGTCCATTGTACCTGCTCGTGCAATCTCTTTAAGTTTTCTGAAGAATTCCATGGATTTGTAATTGTTTGCAGTGTGTAAGGCCCATGTCGTAATGGCAAGATCAAATGCGTCCTCTACATCATTAAGTGTGGTTGCCAAAAATGAAGCTCCAATATCACGTGCTGCAGATGCCGCCCTTGCTGCTTCCTAAAGTAGTCCCGGTAATGCATGGGAAATTAGTACACACTAGGTGACAAGTATGACAATTCGTGGGGCATTGATTATATCTACCTACAATAAATATATGACATCAAAAATGACGTACCCCTGTGAGACCTAAATCCCCAGACAATGCAATGACGACATGAGCAGTTAAGGATATGTTCCAATTGCCTTCCACTCCTCCAAGTGTTGTCAATTTTGGAAACATAGCACGGAGGTAGTGAGGCCCAGGTTCTATGAACGCCCCGCACGAACTGTTCTGGTAACTTATCATCCACATCGCCATGTCATTTAAAACTTCTACTGGAATGTAGAAATGATTCTCCCAGTCAGAATCCCTTGCGTTCTTCAACTGGTTAAAGAAATGGGCTGTCAACCTGAAGAGCAAATTTGCAAAATTGCTTTTTAACTTCTATTTTATTAAAATCCAATCAAACACCCTTGGGGTGTATTACTGTCACATAGTAAAATAATGATCAGAAGTAATTATAAAAAGTCCTCGCCGAGTGCTTATTTTATGACATATAACATGTTGTTTAGTGTTGTAGGTTTATTCAATTTGCCTACCTATGTACATGCAGCATGGAGAGTCAGGGGTGACAAAAATAAATGAACAAAACATACGATGCTCACCATAAACTCGAATTTGTGTCTCTATAGAACATAGCATATCCACCATCATCTTGCTTATGTCTAAGCATTTGCATATAATCTGAAATAATGTAAAAGTGACTGAATCTGTAAAACATTATATAATACAAACAATCAACCCTGTAATCTAGTGAATATGACATTATGTAAATATCTAAAGAATCTTGTTTATATTATTTTTACCAAGGTCAGAATTAATCTAAATTCAATTTAAATAGTGTGGGATCAGACAAGTTATTCTTACTGTAATTCATAGCATCAAGAGATGTTGTTTGCGTTTCATATGTCAGTTGATCGGTTGCTTTGAAATATTTCAAATACCAAAGATTTTGTGTAAATTCAAAGAAGTAATCTTCCGATGTGGCTCTTGGTAACCCTAGTAACTCATCAGCCTCCAACTTCTCTCTGTAGAAACCAGGACCAATAACGTCCCCTTAAAACCAAAGAAACGATTTTGTTCGTACTTCGATGTAAATGGGATTGTTTTGTGTCACAAATATTTGATGAGACTGTTGAGACTGTGAACTTATTATGGTTAATATATGCGAACACTTGATTATTTGACACATGCGTGCGTAGGACTGTATTATGTGACCTTTTGTAATTAATATACTTAGTTATATAATGAGAGTATGTTGAATGTCATCCTCCTAAGCAGGTGTCCAGAATCCGTACCTCCTTCAGAAAGAATATATTCTGGATTTTGAAGCCCTGTGATAGGAGGATGGTTGAATGTACATACCTACAATTTGCACTGTACAAGCACCAGACCCGGGTACATAGAGGTGGTTCCTCTGTTCTGGGACAATCCATCTCTCAGGTACAGGGATGACAATATCGGGTATGATCACCTGGCTGTATTTTACAAGATCAACAAAATACGGTGTATGCCAACCATTAGGCACTCCGTCCATCTATTATAATGAAAAATGAATAGGTTGACATCACAAATTGTGACATTTATCACGAAGATAATATAAATATAACAATTGCTGTTGCTACATGATAAAGTCATGTAACAAAAAATGATTCGGTCGTAAATAAGTAATCAAGGATTCAATATTGTTATTTGCGTCAAATAAGAAGGTCATCTTAGAATAAAATGCATGGCTTCTGTGGCGGGGCTCAATCTATATCATTAGCCCAAACGCTTTGTAATTTTATTCCTAGAGCTTGGTCATGACATTAAAAACTAAAATGATATATTTGGTTCTTAAACATAGATATTTGACATCACATGTTTTGTATTATTTGTGTTGTATTTTTCTTTCTTAGTATTTGTGTTGTACTTTTTCTCTCTATAGAACCATTATAATGTGCCACTTTTGCTTGAAACAAACTTGTGAGCTGACTGACCGCTATCTCGATAGTACCAGAACATCCTTCAGTATGGCGGAAATTCTCGGCTGTGATTGTGAAATCAACTTCTCCATCAGACAGAGGAACTATGGGCATGTGGACGTATTTACATTCTCCTGGAAATAGCTGAAATGAACAAATATGTTTTGACAATAGATAGGATGGTATATATGACCTGTTTGCAACTGTACTTAGAAATTCTGTGTGGATAGCTTTTAGTCACATGTTCATAGCTCCTGTATAGTCAAGGCAGCACCATATTAAAGTTCCATTACTTGTAAAATTATTAAAGAACCAATACTTATACTTACATTGACCATTGTCTGGATATCACCACCCAGGAGTTTAGGTGAGTAGTGGCTGATAGTATCACCCATGCCATCTGCCGATACAAACTTATAACCATCTGAACCATATAATGTAACTAAAATCTAAATGGTATAGCCATATTTGATTATAACATATTTGAGAATCAAGTATTCTCTAAAACATAACCATTTTCAAATCTATGCTACCCCATAAATATACTTTACTAAAATAAACCTTGTGCCTGTAAAATAGACTGCTGCATAAACTAAATATTATTATAAATAAATATAATATAAATATAAATATTATTGAAATCCATGTGTTATAAAAAATAATAGTAAATTCACTAATAAATAGGCAAGGTCTGTCCGATTACAGCCAATCCGAACACAGTATTTCACAAGACAGCAATGCATTGAATAATCAATGACGCATTTGCTTTGTAAGGTTCTCAAGGTAAGGAGATTGAAATTGATGCTTTGCCAAAATGTTTCAAAATATGCAAAATAAGGGTGTTTTCTTGCCCACCCTGTAGATATCAGCGTACCTCAGAAGTATAATCAGCGTTACTTGTCAGCCACAATTGGATCCCTATCTGTTCTCCAAACTTAACTACTTTTGGATATTCACACTGACAGTATAAGTCTCTTGTGAAGTCTATCTGAAATAAAAAATGACACTGATAACAATTTAAATATCTCAAATTGACCTTGGGTCATTTTCCGGTTCAGGCTTCTTGTGTATTGTATAAAATCATTATATTCAGTTTTGGGCCGATGTAAAGATGGTAGCAGCAGTAGAATATTATTTATACGAGGATACGAGGGTTGATCCAAAAGCAAACGGTTCGGAACTTTTTGATCAACCCTCGTATATACTACATATTATATTTATACACTTTCTCTTCCAAAAAGATTCAATTATGATTGAGACCTAAATAAGTTATTCCAAAATTAGAGTTGCTTTTTTGTGTCACCCTGTAGTATACAATATATTTGGTTATGTACCACATATGGTGGTGTTGCAACTCCGAGCCCATAATCCCTGCTCATTGATACTGCCGATACCACCCATGTGATTGGCTGCTTCGGAGGGTGCACAATTGCATAACTATCGCCTGTTGGTCTGAAATATTAACACGATATGTAATTATGATACCCTCATTATCAATAACATGCCAAGCATTTCTATACATTTTCATGATTTTTTAAAAGTCTCAAAACGCAGACTTTAAAGAATTATAATTTATCATTGAAAAACTAGTGAGACTTGTGGGGGACAGTCAATCTAATTAAGAAGTGACAATTAACAAAATATCTTCTTTAATTGGTTTGTCAAGATAAATAACTTACTTTGTAAATGCACCGGTCCATGACCATGAAACGTCTGTGAAAGGATGCACGTATGGCATGTGTCTGTGCATATCAGCCACACTAAGCATATTAAATTCTAGTCCATTCGTCATTTGTCCTATTGTAGTGTTACCTGTTTATGAACATGAGGTACCCATTATGCCAAATTATCTTATTTCCTCTACTATAACATTTTTACTATATGTACAGCAATAAAGTGATTCTACATCAATTTAGTTGATTTATTTAGAATTGATTATAGCTGGTCCTTGGAAGGTTGACATTTATTCAAACTTGAAAAATAAATCGTTTCTAAAACTTCATCATATTGTATTTCACGTGTTAGATTGTCTATGTAGTTTGGATTATTAATGACTTTCTTGTTTTCTTTTAGTATTCATAAAACCTTCCTCTTCCGGCACTTATGCAACAAATAACATATGTATTTACTTGTACATGTGATAATGTTTTAAGCTACATACATCCCATTTCGTCAGCGCCATCTAAACAGTCGTAGTAGTTATCACACAGTTTTTCTTTCCTATAACAAGTGCTATCATAACACCGCAACCACCCAAGGGTGCCATTGCACTGATCTAAAATTCATGTTTTCATTTTTAAGTCCTTATGTATATGTACATGTAAATACTACTTGCGTTAGGCACTTGATAGAATACGAGAAAATATGGATCAGATTGCAATTGAAAAACATCTAAATGGCACAAGATAAATGAAAAAAATCCAAAAGAATAGATTTGTCACCGGTTTACATTTTATGAATTGATTTTAAGTTATTCTTCAAAAAATGAAAACGTTACACGTCGTCTCATTGATTATAATAAACTGAGAGATGCATTTCAAATCTCAGTTTTGAATTTGAAAAAGTTACACAATTTGATTTTCTATGTTATTAGTTTTTGCTGGATCTTTCACTGAATAGATATTCTGAAACCTGACGGCAAGATCATACATTTTAATATTAGATTTGTTTAATGAAACAAAATCAAGAGTTAACATACACTGAGCTTAGTTAAAGGGCAAATCCTAACATATCCATAAGGAACGCCTTTTAAAACGAGCTAATGTACTTCTCACAAAGATATGTCAAATTCTGAAACATGCGATTCCCACACTTTAATACTGAGAAGTTTCGAAAAGATTCCAACTCAAAAGATTTTTATTTGGTATTTCATTTATAGTAGAGGAGTGTTGACAATGACCTTATGAACTTACAGTTAGTTACTGAATTGAAGAATATATAATAGCAAATGTTTTCGAAGAATGTAATATTTATTTAATTATGGTGCACAAAAAGTCTTTATGGCTACACGAATACTCTCTGACGATAGGAGTGACAGATGATAATTATACATTTTTAGTCACAAATGATGCAAATAAAGGAGCGTGTATTCACCTAACAAAATAATATTCTATAATTGAAAAGTTTACATAATTACACATATTAACTGTTTTCTCCCTATAATCTAGAGAACTTGAATAGCAACCCGGCCTCCCAAATGAGTATAATAAAACTTTGCTATTGATTTTATGACATTGTGCTAAATGCCACATTGTTTGAAAATGTATAACCTTTAAAATGGTATGTAAGTCAATGTACCATATTGAATGTAACTATTTTTGACCTGATTTAAAGTTGGGCATTGTTTTTTGGCCCAGTCTGTAACTTACTTGGAATAGTTGTCATATTGGCATCAGTAAATACATGCAGACCAGCGTACTAGAAAATAATAACATAAAATAAACGTTGGGATAAAGGTAGGCTAAGACCTTTATATATTTCATGTGCATATTTCAAGTGCAATGAAAATTGAACAATGGACGATTAATTTATTCCATTTTGGAACTACAAAGGAATGAAAAGTGATTCCTGCGTATCAGCCAAAAATGTTTTTAGCATATATGCACAATTAAAAAAGTTATCACCAAATAAGAATATGAACGTTTTTGAGCCACCCCCATATTTCTAATAATGATCGGCTAGAGCTCTCGTAGTAATTCGGACATGTGGATTGGTAACATAAGCTAGACCAGCTCCTGTCTCAATTTCTTTTTTTATTTTGGATATTATATACCCTTTGCATTTGTTCAACTTCACTTTTTAAAAGAGAGCTTCGTCAGTAGTTTATAACTAGACTCTGCGCGCAGGGTAGATATTATAATATTATTGTCGACTAAACATGTGTATGCTATAAACCAGTTACATGAAAAAACATTGGTATCAGAACATGGGTAACGTACATGTAATAAGCAATATCTTGAGAAAAAATTATACAACTCACCACAAACGTTGTATTTGCATCAATTCCATAAGTTTGTGTTTTGAAGTATATCCTATCAGTCTCCCAGTTTTCAGCTCGCCACGTGACACTCGCACTTACGTTTGTGTGACTGTCATATGTCAACAATTCCTTCTCTATCTACACATATTAATAAAAATCAGTGGGGTCAAGGGGGTGGGGGCTAATATTTTCCGAAGAATTTTGTTAACTCCGGATAAATCTTGATGGGCGCGTGTTTGTGCCATTATATTATTTGGATTGTTAATTTCCCCATGTAAAACAAAATTTAACAGTGGTGTTATCAGGTAAATCACAAAATTATCCGTTACAATTTTCAAATCAAGATATTTTGAATACATAACTTTGTGTGTTTTTGTGGGCCACTCTATTTTAAGAATGGGAATTTATAGTCAACCCTGACAGTACCTCTTCCTCGGTTATAAAATTTCGCCCACCAAGAGAATATAAATAGTAATTGATGGCATTAAATGACATCCAGGTCCCCGGATCTGCTGTACCAATTGTTTCAGTCATTGAACCACTGAAGTCTTTCCCGCGGTTCAATGTCAGATCAACCTAAAACGATAAATGTAACGGTGCACAATTTTTGAAAGATTATTTGTTAATACTATTTATTATCATTAGTCTGTCATTTTGCCAGTTTTCTCGCTAAATAGAAGGTTCTTTTAGGTTGCTTACATGGTTTGCCTAGGATATATTTTTCATAATGAAAAAGTCTTGTGTTTTCATTATTTTGAGTTTTCTTTGTTGTCCTTCGTTATTTTTCTCGATTATTTTTCTTTTGTTGTCTTCTACGACCTTTTAAATCAAATCAAAACCTGCCAATACCGTCGCTAAAGTTCAATGAGTGGTAAAAATTATGAATTGAAAAATTCCTTTTACAGACTGGTTACAAATCAAATTAGTGACAAAAAGAGTAAAAAAGTCAAGTAAACCACCTAGAATACCACCTACACAAACTGTCAATTTCTAAACACTATCTACTAATGGGACATCTATTTATATCTAGATTTCCCATCTTATCTGTTACAAAGTTAGGGTCGTTATATAGTACATAATTCTTTGAAAAAAGGCCCTAGAATTTGAAGTGAATTGTAGTTCTGATTTCAGGAATTCGAATTCCTGAGAGGGCCTCCTAACGGTATATCATTACAGAGAACTTTCTCTAAGTAGGATTTAGTAGAGTACGTCTCATTAATAAGCTAGCATTTTTCGCACTGTTCAGAAAGAAGGTTGAAAATGCATTGGTTCTCTACATCAAAGAAAAAATTACCTTATGTAACCCAGTGCCTTCAACAAAGAAAGAAAGAGAATCTGCGACAACCTCTCCATGCTTTATATACGAGACTATCATCCGGGAACTTGGCATCATATCACGTGACAAGGCTACTGAAAATGTCTTCTGCCGTGACACCATTGCGATAGTGTCCGAAACAACTATATTACTCTGAGATACAAGCTGAAAAAGGTACGATGTTCATGGGCGTAGCCAGGGGGGGTGCGATGGGTGCGATCGCACCCCCCCCCCATAACCTTTGAAAATATGACCATTGGATAGAGGTAGAAAAGAGCTTTAAAATGCTTTTTATTTGAAGCTTCTAGCTCAATTTTGAAGGAAGTTGCATCAATTTTTGTAAAATTCAAAAGAAATCTTAATTTTTTGTGTTGCTTATGGCAAAATCGCACCCCCCCTGACCGAAAACTGAAAAATTTTCGGCGATCGCACCCCCCCTGACTGAAAGCTGGCTACGCCCCTGATGTTGTTCAAATTGTTTTGATTTTCTAAGATAAAATTACGCAATATGGAAAATAATGAGGCTATAATGCACTTTTTGGTATTTGAAGTACCCGTGTCCTTCCCAAATGAATAGATTGGAGGGATATGCCTCTATCATACTGTCATCGTACTAGAATACACATTTTGAGTAAATTACCTGGTAGTAGATTTTGTCGACATATACATTCGTCCTTACTGTAAATACCATATAGTGGTTTACCTATAATCAAAAAGGCATTACATTTGTTATTAATGTGCTAAGCCAATGATAATGCCTAACGTAACTCTAAATTGTTCAGGAGGTTCGCACAAATATTTGCAAAAATAACTCCATATTGGGGACGATTTCGAATGATCCACGTCACCAAACCTGTTGTGAAGATGATGTGTTTGCCAACATCAAAATGCACATCGTCCAAATGTCTAGAGTGATGTACTGGTGATCAACAATGTGTTTCATTTTCATTTCTTACTTCATAAATATGAATTTTTGAGTCACCTTCGGTTTCTCGGTTGATGATGTAATACGGATATAATAATTTCTCTCACTGTAGGTCCTTGAAGACAGCATTGTTATTTCTGAAAGAACTACATCTTCACCAGAATATCTTGCCTAAAATATTCAAAAAGTCATTATACTTTATATCTTGAAAAATTGACTGTCATGTTTTGCTGAGAACAGGATGGGGGTAATAACTTGGCGAATTAAAATACTTGAAAAGGTATTGTTTACCATGAATTTTAAAGACCCACAAGTGAGTTTATGTAGGCTTATCTTTTTCATTTATTGAATTCCTTTAAATCATAAGTTGCATTAACAACCTTTGTAGTGATGAGTTCATCATCGGTTTCTGGCAAAATGGAAAATCTAAGAATATGGTCATCTGGAAGAGGAACAAACTCTCTAGTTCTTCGTGAACCACCGCCTTGTTGTTGGAACAGGATATTGACATCAACGCCACCTTTCCCGTAAAATGAAGGCGAGGAACCGTCTCTTTGGGTTATTGCAATCTGGATAAAATATTATTCAAATTATTCGAAAAATGATGTTTTCATTGTACTTTTTACTGTATCCTCATATATGATGATGATAATGATTTGCATCTTGGAGTACTAGTGTAACTCTCTTTATATTAAGAGGCAAATAAATTATACATACATACATACTAGTGATAACTCTTTTATAAGTGATAAATTCGGTCTTATGTCAGAAATGATCATGTCTGACTCTGGAAATGGATAACAATGAAGTCCTCATTTCCAGGCAAACAGTTTGATGGATTCATTTGAATCTAGAACTGTCCAATTCCTGGCACCCTGTTTAAATGTTAAGAGCTTATATTAAGCCAGTCATTTTGGATTTTGTGCCCTGAAATATTTTCTGATTTTTTTTCTCCATTTTACATTTTACATCACCTACAATTATACGAATATATTATTCACTCTCTGTCTTGCTCTTACGTTGAAGTCAAATGGCATATTTGGTTTGAAGGTTCTGACGTTTCCCTCAACGAAATACATGTACAGCCCTCCAGGCTGGATGATAGTGGTAGACATCCCTTCTCTCGTCTCACCCTTTTCATAATCGTAAATTCTTGCAATGCACTTGACGGCTTTATTGGAAAGATCTACAACACCCGTTCGTCTTCTCAGATCATTCATCGTGAACACAAACTGATATTTCTCTTCAAACTACAAAAGTACCCAGAAATAAATACTGCAATAACATGTACATATTATATTCCTAAACTGTGAATACAGAAAGGTATACTGTGCCAAAGTGTAAAGACATGAAGAAACGTAGAATGTAAAGAAAGATGCATTCAATAAATAGGGATTTAACCAAATATTGTATTTAGTTGAAATATGTCCTCACTAATGAACATCTAGACATAAATAAGCATGTTTCTTGTAAGAGGGTTCAGGAATAATCATAAAATACTCGATCACTAGGTTAAAATACTTACAAACGGGATAGTTTCGTAGAAATTAGACCTTGGGTGCCCTTCAATATAAAATTCCATTGTGCCATTACCTCTAATTGGCAACCAGCTTGGGAAATATCTGTAAGCAGAATATACATATTATGCATCTTCATGTCAAATACGGCCAATCGAATTACTTTAGATGAATGATTGTTTCAGTATCCTTTAAGACTAACGATATTATTACTATTACCGGGAATATAATTCACGTATTTGAAAAGTTACAATTATTGTCTTGACTATTGATCATAACGAAATCTCAACCAAAGGAAAAGATCTGCCTTATTAGAATTTGTGGTAAAATAGGCCATTTTGAAGGAGCATAATGTAGACACCGTGCGCATGTAGTATACAAATCAGAGTTTATTACAATTGAGAACTGAAATACAATGTCATTCTAAAAGCACTTTCTTGTAAGAATTCCGCTGTTAATAATAATACATGTTTTTACTTGTCAGTGTCTATCGAGGGATAAGTAAATATACTTGAAATACCACGACAAAATGATTATGAAGAATGGCTTTTTACTTACACCCCATGTATCACGCCAGCAAGACCATATTCTGTGTCTTTGACATACGGTGGCATCGTGACATTCACCAGCATTCTTTGAACATCTGCAATGTACAGGGTGTCTCAAAATTAAAGGTATACCTACTGATTTACATGCATGTACATGTAAAAAACAGGCATCAGAGAAAAACGTGTTTACTCCTTTCAAATATACAGATTTGTCACTTCTATCCCTCTTTAAAAGCTCATTAAATTATCAGAAAGTAATTATGAAAAGTTTTGAGAAAACCATATCTTTTTAATATAAAGTCGTAAGAATACTTACACACCCTGTAAACACTAAAGGATTTTGAGTAAACATGCCCCTAAAAAATAAGTACTAATTAATTAAAAATGTTTTATGTATGAAAATGTTATATATGAAAGAGTAAATACAAGTATTTAAAAAAAGAACTGTCGTCATGGACATCCAGTAAATCTCAAAAACAAGTATACCTTTGTCTATTCTTTAAGATTTAAGATATCAGATCAATCCTGCTACATGTACAACGGTGACCAAGTGTTAACAGTGGAGATTGTCCCGGACGTGTTTTTCAAACGATTTAGACGTGTTTTTGGAAAACTTGAGAGGTAGGTTGATAAATTTGGTTATGAAATTGCTGTCACTTGACTTTATGTAAATGTAAGTAATTCATATTGCTTACCATACTATGTATCCTAACTTCAGGTATCCGCAAACGCGTTATTTGCACGAATCTTATGCTATAGCGTTGTTAAATCGGAAAATTAGCGATTCTGGCAGTGTTACACATATTTTTGCCTGAAAATCACTAGCCTGCCTTGTATTCAATGAATACATCGATTCATATTAAAGTACTCACAATATGTGCGAAAACCACAAATCAAAAGAGCTTAAATAAGTAGCAATTGACCGAATAAATCATTTTTGGATTAAACTATTTGGACGTGTTCCAAAAGTATCCATTCTCCATCGTTAACTCCACTTTCTACATTTACAGTCATTTATGGCAATTTTAAGATAAAGATAGTTAAAATATAAACACGATCTTTGGAGTAGTGAATATTATTCCACGTTATTGAATGGAAAGTCTGTTTAAACTTAATAAATAATACTAAATGCAAATTTAGTACATATTCCTGGCATTTTTGGTATATAATTGTGAGTACTATGAAGTATGATGGAATGATCGCCAAAATAGATGCGTGAGTGAGGAAGAAGAACATCTTAGGTAGAAGTCTAGTAATGTTAGTTTGTAAAACATAGAATATTCTTACCTTTTTGCTCCATTCTAACGAATGTCGTATTCCATATTCTTACAAAACACGTCTGGATCGATAGAAAAAACACGTCCGGAACAATTTCCATTGTTAAGACTTGAGCACTGTGATGTACGTAGTCTAAGACAATGGAGTATTGTAGCAGCTTACATTGTATATTTTTACATGAGAATTATGTAATAAATAAACACTTTTAAATAATTATTCAAAAATTTCGTGACGGTAGATAATGTGAAAAATATTACTTACATACGCATGCGCTTCAATCGACCATGAACCGCCGTCTTTTATAGGATTCTGTAGTTGAAGCTGTTTTTCAATTACACCTGAATACATTAAAATATCGTAAATATTTCTCATCATATTAAGTAGGATATCTGTATAAACTTTTGAGGGTGTATTCAATGATGCCTGACATTACGTTATATGGATGGAATGTGTTATAGCTATTATAAGTCACGTGGTATGTGATTAACCAATGAGAGTACGAGTATCACAGCTATATATTCTTTTACTGGACATAATTTAATTTTTATAACTATCAGATACTATCATTTATCACACGTTTCAGCATGAGAAACAGGAAATATTCCACGAAAGGTAATATTGTATCATCCACGAAAGAGAAGCTTAAGTAGTGATACATTTTTACCCGAGATACACGGATAGCACACGGATATATAGGGGTTTTTGATAGTGCAATAATTCAAAAATGATTCTACATGTACTAGGTTCATGTTTTACATAAAGATAGCTTCATCTTTGAATTGTGGGTAATTTCCCTCATTCTTTTGTGTAAGCAACAAAGGCAGGGCACTGACTTTGCACTCGACTGTTGATCTCAAATGTCAAAATTAGAAATCCGACAGGTTAAACCAGTACATACACACATTGTTCATTGTTTTATATAACACCATCTCGGTGACAATATAGTCAATATGATGGTGGTGTGATCGTTACCGTGGTGACGTCTCGCAATCTCTGTCTTGGCGATTCTTGATAAACGGTTGTTTGGATTTGCTTTCTATGGATGCAAGTTTTGTGCGTTAATTTTAAAGAATGAACATTTAAAAAAAAAGTTTTTTTGAAAAATTAATTAATTAATTAAAAATATTTTATTCGTCTACACGGAGACGATGACAGGTGAAAACAAGGCATTAACATGAAAAAATGTCACTACCTTGTAAGATATTGGAAATTATTACAAACTCCAAATGCCGACCACCGTACGTCGTCAAATACCGTCCACGAAAAAAAGTTGAAAAAACTATATACATCTGACATGTGTAGACTTCTCTTGAGGTTAACTGGCGAAATTGTAAACCTTGAAAGTACAGGGTGGGCCAAAAAATTTTGCAACCTTTTTAGAAGACAAAAAACGTATCATATCATTATCGTATTGACATGAAATTTTTTTTACCGAAACTTAAGGATAGGCATATTTTACCATTCAAATACTTAAGCTAATACTGACTTCAAATTTTTTTGTCAGATGTTTAAATATTAATGGTAAATTGTTCATTTGTCCGAGATTTACCATTTTTTCGAAGAAAATCTGACTTTCTATGATTTTATGTGATCAACAATAACACATTCATTATGTTTACTAAATCTGCTACAATCTTTGATAACTGTTTAACCAATGTCTGGTACAGGTTTATATCAGTATCTAGTCACTATGGTAATATTGTTACACTGTATTAATTAGTTATTAAACAAATGTTCTATGCATCCGTCATTCATCTTCACAATCACATGGAGACGAGAACTGAACTGGTAAATGGCGAGATCCAGCAGTTCTTGTGGTAGTCATCTCCACTTATCCTACAGAACTTCTTATAGTTGATCAATAGTTTGTGGGGTATAACCATTAACTACAATACATTGTTCCAGGTGCCCCCATGTGTGATAGTCCCAGGGGTTGGCATCTGGTGTATTTGGTGGCCATTCGATTCAGGACTAATCTCCTTCAAAAAGGACATCTTTCAAGAATGGGGGCTCTTTTAGCCCCAAGTGATTACATATTCCAGCAGGATAGCGCTCCTGACCATAGGCCAAAAGTCACTATGGAATATCTGGAGCAAAATACCCCTTGATTCATTAGTCCTGATGAATAGCCGCCCAATACAAAGATTGCAGTAGATTTAGTGAACATAATAGATGTTTTATCGATGATCACATAAAATTATAGAAAATCACATTTTCTAGGAAAATCGGTAAATCTCGGACACATGAACAATTTATCATTAATATTCAAACATCTGACAAAAAAATTTGTAGTTCAGTTCAGTTCAGTTCAGTTCACCCACCCTGTACCGTTGACTGAGACCGTAGGAACTTGTGGTTCGCGACTAAAGAATCGATATTCGCGTTGTCAGAACCATGGTTCGGGTGGAAGGGACATAGTTCGCGAGGTTGTAACTGATGATCGTGTTAGTGGAAGTCTAGAAGGCCTGACCATGCAATATAAAATTTGAGACGTATTCTTGTCCCAAATCAGAATTGCATCAAAATCACAAATATAACCGCCACAAGTTTTTCGCTAACTGACTAGAGTACATCCTTACCATTATTGACAGCTTGCGCGAGCCATCGTTTTACCACAACGCCTTTGTATTCCTTTACGAACAAATCCATAGTTCCAACCACAGGCATCAGGTTTGGCAAGACAGGGATGACTCGGAATCGAACTATGGGGAAAATAGAAGTCTTATATTCTTAGTAGATTAGTGATTAGTTAGACTTTTGATTTTGATAGCAATTATATACAACTTTCCACCAAATGGTACTATTGACCATAATTTCAATGTATTTTCACAACTCCTACATAGACTACGGTTTAAGGAAATAAACAATGAATGATAATATTCTGTTCAGGTGAACTGAAAACGATGCAATAAAAAAGACTGATGCCCCTGACATCTCGCTTGGTTAGTTGTCAGTTGACAATCTTCAGTATTAATTGTTTATACATTTGACTCAACAAGGGTCCTATAATTTACAGCGCATTCACCTCCAACTACTCTTTTCTGAATGAATTTTACCATTTATTCATGGTTACATCGTGAAAAACAACTGGAAATTAAAAATCGCAATTCGAGGAACACTTGCCACCAGACACGGTTTATATATTTGTTGTTCATACTTACGTATATCATTTTTGTTGTAGTACACTTTGTCTGTCTGAATAAACACAGAAATTTGTTTAGTATCGAATATAAGAGATGTCTCGTTGTAGAAAACTGGTCCACCGACCCCATCTTCGTATTTCCCCTCAATTCGCAGAGAATAATTTCCTTGTGTCACATACTGTGGGACCTATTCATTTTGAATATAAAAATTCGTTGTTAGCTTTAAACTGGCATAGATATAAGATTTAAACTGATTATAACTTGGTAAAGAATATGAAAACATGGCATAAAACATTTTTTAATTTGTTTTTATTAGACACATACCGTTAATTCAATAGGAAAAACACGACTGTTAAAGTGTCCAAAATTATATATTTATGGCATAAAAGCAAAAGTGCTGATCGTGATTTAGGAATTAAGGTAAATATCCAAACGTAGTTGGACCTAATTGAACGTATCGCATATTAATGATCAGAGCTTTTCAAAGTCAATAACCGATTTATTTCTTTTTAGATTTCTGTCCTTGTCCTTGTATTGGGTTAATTATTCACACATCAATTATATGAATGGACTGACGAATGCCTATTTAACTGAAAGGAACACGCAATGAATAAGAACTACAGGGTAGGCCGAAAAGGTCAACTTTTGATGGAGCTAGATTTCAAAGATCTTATGTAGAGCAAATATCAAAAAGCGATTTTTCATTTTTAAAATTAGCGAAAATTATGTTTCAAAACGGCTAAACATTTGTAATACCTAGTATACAAGACATTAACATGACAAAATGTCAACACCTAGTTGAAGTAAGATAAAAAGACCTTTTTGACCATGAGGAGGTCATTAAAGGTCAAATCTATTTTGACCTTGAGAATTACATTGAAGGTCAAAGCTATAGTCAGATTTGAACTGTTGAGAACTTGAAGATGATTTTGAAAAACAACTGGTCAATTTGAAAAATACTTTTTTGACCTTGAGAAGGTCATTGAAGGTCAAATCTATTTTGACCTTTGAAAATGTCATTGAAGGTCAAATCTATGGTCAGATTTGAACTGTTGAGAATTTTGTCACCCCCATAGATATGATTCGGCCTTTAAGTAGTCAGATTGAACCTCCGATAACTTATAGATGATTTTGAAAAGATTGGTCAATTTCAAGCAAGTTAAAAAATACTTTTTGACCTTTTTTGACCTTGAAAAGGTCATTTAAGTTCAAATCTTAAATATAAAATCAGATTTGAACTTTTAAAAACATGCAGATGATTTTGAGAACAATTGAAAACAGTATACAGTATTTGTTAAATTATTGGAAGTTGTAGGAATTTGTTACAGACGCTGACCGCCGATCGCCAACCGCCGACCGCTGATCGCCGTCAAAAACAAACGGAGACCATAACAAAATATTATCACTTTTTGCTGGTGACATAATAAAATACGACATTGTTCTGCTAATACCAACCGAATTTCTTTTGTAATACACCCATTAAAATAAGGCAATTTTACGAATTCTTTCTTTGCTTCATAAAACATCTGATTTTGTTTCTAAACAGGTCGGAAGCATTAATCTGAAAATCAAACTATTTTGTCTCAGCCTGTAGATATGATATCCACAGGTGTCTTTTATAAAGTTATGTTTTATCAAGTAAAAGTACAACTTCGAAAGTGACGTACCTTTTCATCTGTTTAGGGACACACACATCGATGGCGCATTACCTGATTTCAACAATGATTTTTACACGGATTTACTTTACTGATCAGTAGTTTACACTTTTCGATACGACATTCAACCAAATTCTCGTTTGTCATGTCATGAGGGAAAACGCAAGATTATGCCAACATATTCCAAACATGAAAAACATATTCCAAACATGACAAACATATTCCAAACATGATAAGCATATATAGTTATGTCTATGTACCAATGCATCAACAAACCATGGTTGATTGGCGTGTTATGTCTACCTTCATTTCCATTTCACGGTGTCCCTCGTTGGTGAATCGCTCTGTCACAGCTGCGATCTCTTCACTCAGATCTGTGTTGCGGATTGATGCATAGACATATATGTAATCGTATTCCATTTTTAAAATAACGACACTCATTCTAAAGAGTTGGTTTGGTCGAAATCTTCTGGGAACCGCCATCATGTAAGTCCTAAAGAAAAGTTATCTATTAATTATCAATTTGTGTTTCTAATACCCGATTGATTATTCTTAATTATCCTGAAAATCGTTATTATATCTTTACAATTCGAAAGAGTAATCAATTTACTTTCTACATCTTTGGTGATTCTAATTACAGAAGAGAAAATCGTGTTAGTAAGTAATTTAGTATTGTGTTAGTAAGATTCATTATGAAAACCATTGTATTTAGTTAATTAATTATTTTTGAATATATTGACCATGTTTTTGAATATTCAAGTTCACCAAATACTACATTAAAATGTTGAATATAAGATATTGGAATGTTTTGAGTCGTAATGGGCTTCGTAGATGTGTAAAATCACGCGGTCCTAACTTCGACCGTTAATTTGAATTTTTGACCTACCGGATGTTTGAAAATCAAGGATTGCGACTCTCATACTGCATCGTTTTTCTTCAAACTTATACCATTAAAAGCAGAACAAAATTGCCTTTCTGTCGGTGCATTACTTTATTGTAAAGAGTCCCTCGTTCTAGCAGAGTTTTGGTCCCCAGCTGTTAGAAGGCCTTCTTACAGCTGGGGACCAAAATGCCGCTGAAAGTAGGGACTCTGTTTAAGAGAATAATGTACCATCAGAAAGGGATGTTTGTTATACTTTGAATGGAACAAGTTTGAAGAAAAACGGTGCAGTATGAGACTCGTAATCCTTGATTTTCAAACATCCGGTAGGTCAAAAATTTAAAATAACGGTCCAAGTTAGGACCGCGTGAAAATACATGCCAGTAAATAAAGAAAACCAACTTTGATCCAAACCTTCACAATATAGCATAACAGTTAAAAGAGTATGACCAAACATGTAATTCTTTCTGAAACACATTGTTTGCCATTTGATTTGATGAGTTAGCGTTGGTTTCGAATTTGCGCATTTTGAGGTTGACATTCACAAAATGCAATAAAACCAACAGAACGAGTGTAATTCAATCAAGTATATGCAATAAAAACAACAACATTTGATACCTGAATGGATAAAAAACTGATATATGTCATCGGGCATGTACAGGTCAAGCTAAACATGTTACTATGTACAAAAGTTATGGTAAATATTAAATAAATAAATAAATAAATAAGCAATAATAGAGAAATCAAATGAAAATGATATGACACCAGAAAGTAGATCGCTGAAGAATTTTGTTTTTATTCATTTACATTTTAAAGTTCAAAATAGACTTACCCTCCATTTCTATTTGGGTTTCTATAATGGATAAAACTGTTATCATCCTGAGAGTCTACGGGAGCCCCCACGTTTGACAATACCAGAACAGCACAAAATGCAACAGTTACTCGCAACTTCATTTTCAATTTTTCCTCTTCGGGTGCAATTCTAAATCTTGTGTCAGATCCCGGGTGTCAGATCTTTCGTGATTTTATCTATTCGGCGTCTTGATCTGCGATTAAAAAACAAGTTGAATTCCAGATGAATTCAGATTCATAATAAGCTGTTTCAAAATTTAAAGTTATGTAAATCCTGCATGTGTGGTGAATAGTGCTGTCGTGTCGAAAAGGTAACAGAATGTCAAGAAGTGTGCGTTTAAGCAATCACTTTAACTAATGTTATGATCGTGCGCATGCATATAATACGAATCGTACCTCTGTAATACAATATATGTCGTTCTTTTGCATATTAATTCTATTTGTAAGATGTATACATCCAAATAGGTTCATGACACAATATTACCAATTCCGATTTATCCATTGACACATTTCAAACTCAGCAAACATCATTGCTACGGTAAAAAGATAAGAATGAAGAAATGACAAAAAACGAATTTGACCTGTAAGTCCACTAAAGGAGCACGTAGGTTATCGCAAACAATTTCAAACGATTCCAATTATGAATATTTTCTGATCATGAACATGGATGTATCTTTTAGATCAATTCACTATATTCAAGAAAAGTATATATAATGATAATTTAGTTTATCAGACCTAAGTGATATCGAAGGGGCAATGGACCAATCAACATACTTTTTCAAAAATGTTGACCTAATTTTCACCAAAAATGCAACCTTTTATCATATTGTTGAATGTATAATTAGAATGTGCTTTGAGACATGTACGATTTCCTAAACAAGTTGATTGCTCCAGGGACTTAAAAGATATTGAATTTGGATGACCAAAATGAACTGAAACCAATGGATAGCATGAGATTTTTCAATGGAGAAATAACATGGGGAACACTTATCTTAAAGCAATTAAGTTCTTCTTTCAAGAAAATTATTAAGTTTTTATTTCAAGAACTATTTGATACATCAAAATAAAGGATAGTAATGCATTAAACATTGTAAAAAATAATTGCATTTTGGTGAAAATTAGGTCAACAAAAAAGTGTGAAAAAGTGTGTTGATGGGTTGATTGCTAGTTAAATATCTCCGAGCTTGTTTGACTTTTTTTATTACTATGTATAATTTTCTTTGAGATAATGAATCGATCTAAAAGATAAACCTGTCTTCTTGTCAGAAAATAGTCATAATCCAAGATAAAACCTTCTGAAATTGTTTGCGATAACCTACGTGCTCCTTTAGTGGACACTAAGATTAAGATTTGTTATGAATAACGCTACAAAAGAATGATTCTGATACTTATACCGCAGTATAAATCATAAATATCGGTATACCATAATTAATGTTAAATGTAACTAGTTAAATTAAACGATAATGTCACTCTGTTTTTGTTTCTTTATTTTCCTCCGTATTAAGGAGAGCATAAAATGATGCAATCAAATTACATTTAACTGAACAAGGAAAGTATACGACAGACATGAATAAACGTTTCTACAGATTCTCGAGATTCTTGTACAATATTTTTGAAGAACCCCTTTATGTCATATAGATTAGTGTTACATATGATTGTGAAATTATGAAAAGACTGTCATTTAAATAAATGTCTGTGCTACCCCCTAAAATTGTATGTAGGAGTGCATCATCATTTAAATTAAACAGGCCCCGTTCACGTATTAATGCAGCAGTGAATGTTTCATAAAGAGAATCTGGTGAATGTTACCTCAAATATGGACGAAAGGTAAACTAGAACTAGAAAGTCAATGGTTTGACGTTTAAAGATTAATGAATCTAAAGAGATGTTGCCACATATTAAAATATAGCCATTCAAAGGTCGAACTGAAAAAAATGAATTCTAAAAAACTCTTGCCACCTGTCACCGCGTACCGAAGATGTATAGTTAAGTAGTTATGTTTAAAGTATAAATTAACATTTTTCTTCCGTTGAACCTTCCAAAAATGGTTCATGTACTAGTAAGTAATCGTATTCTCTAGCTTATAACATAAAATGTAAACTACAATGACACCAACTTTCTATAACTCTCTGCAGACAGATCTAGATCCCCGGGTCTAGATCTCGAGGTTATTTGCGACAAATGTACATTCATTGGAAAGATATAGCTCCAACTAGGGATGACACGGGAGGTGTATAGGCAAGCCTGTCCAATGAGAGGTGGTATCCATTTGGGGCACATTTGATATGGACAGCAAATGGGGTTTGTCAAGCAAATACTAGTGATATAAATTGATCAATATCAGAGAAAATTGACCCAACTTTGCTTTTGCCATAATCGATTATTCAAGCTCCATTTAGTTAAAAGATTTGCATTGTTTGCATTTTTCCGAAACATCTAAAAACTATTTTATTGATGGAATAATAGATGGCAGCATGTATAGATCTATAGGTAGAATCACAATGACTGTGCATTACTGCTATTTTGCTTTTTTGCCGTCTGCGATCTGTGTCAAGTTCAATTTAACCCGCTGCATTCTTCGCCATCTATTGACATTCCTCAAAGATGTTTTAGTATATTATGACGGGTAGCAGTGTTGGATCCATAAACGCAGACTTTATCTACATGACATGTCTGATTCCAGCCAATCCGAACAGAGTATTCACATAATGAACAGTGTGTGAATCAAGGATTTAAGTACAAGACTCAATGCATTGTTTGCTGGATCATACCATGAAGGTGTTGTTTCCAAACCTTTGCATGACCGCGCAGCGGGAATTCAAAGTTTAGGAAACAACGCCTGGGTGGAATGAAGCACTTTTTTCTATAAAACCATCTAAAAGGAACGAAATCACTAAATGAACACATTTTCAATCAATTTTTTGCAAGGGTCAAGTTGACAAGTCATCAAATCCAATGTGAAAAATCCATTCATCACCATGACAACTGTTTAACTAGTGACCTTGCATGTGTTATTGATATTTCACACATAGCTAGGCAAGGTATGGCCGATTCCAGCCAATCCGAACAGAGTATTCACATAATGAACAGTGTGTGAATAAAGGATTTAAGCCAAAGACTCAATGCATTGTTTGCTGAATCATACCATGAAGGTGTTGTTTCCAAACATTTTCATCATTTTCAATGAAACCTTTTGCAAGGGTCAAGATGGCAAGTCATCAAATCAAATGTGATAAATCACCTTCATGGTATGATTCAGCAAACAATACATTGAGTCTTTGGCTTAAATCCTTTATTAAAACAACTTCGCATAGTTCTTTACTTTTGTTCAATTTTCAAATTAACGTACGTTTTTTTAAAAAAAGTCGGGTTGTATCCCCATTGACACAATGTTAAAAAATCTTTAAAAGTTCATAAATAAGGATCAAAATTTTATTTTAATTACAATCCGCATACCCATAAGATCACAGTTAACTTATGTACACTCCAATGGTGTTCTACACCGTTGCTCATAAATGTCGCTAACAAAATCATCCATCCATCCCCTTTAAAGGCATATCAATCTACATTTGCTCTCGGCAGCAAGTTAAGACCGAGCGAATGAAGATCAAGATGGCAAAATAAGGGGACGGTCAGTCTTGCGTAGGGTATTTGACCTACTTTTGTGGGGTACACCAGAATATACCCCGCCCTCCGGGTAGGTGTCACAGGTGTCACATTGTTTGTTTGTTTGTGAACATGTTGAGTTGTTTTCTTTCCTGCCATCCTCCTATGCAGGTGTCCAGAATCCGTACCCCTTTCTTCACCCTGCTATAACCAATTTGGAAGCGCCCGATTAAACTGAATCACGTGATCTAATTATGCGCAATGACTTATGCATGATTTCTGTCGCAGTGTTGCGACAGCCAATCAGATTGCGAGTTCTTAATCGGAGAAATGCTAACTGCTTATCGCAGGGGTAAAAAGAAAGAATATATTCTGGATTTTGAAGCCCTGTGATCGGAGGATGCTTTCCTGCTGATACGATCATCACGTTCCCAATACACCGGATGATCATTCAAGTGTAACAAATAGATAGATAGATAAATAGCCACATTGTTTTTCTAAAATGTGAGGTAAACTACTAACTGAAAATGTGGTTGTTACCAAATTATTTGCAGTAACATTTGAATGATCCTCCGATGTAACTCAACTGCACATCCACAAACAAACAGTATGACACCAACTTGCACACTTTTTGCAACTTTTTATGTCCCCACCACATAGTTCGGGGCCATATTGTCGGCCTAGGCGCGTCTGTCCGTATGTCCGTCTGTCCGTATGTCCGACAGTTTTCTCCAAAACCGCCACAGATATCACCTTTAAATTTTCAGGGATAACTTACGAGTGCATCTAGGTGTGGATGAAAAAAATGTAAGTGGATACCTACTTCCTGTCGGCCATTTTGAAGTCAAATGCTAAACTCCTTGTCTGCAAACTTTAAGAAAAATGGCTTCACAGTTGCTTTTGAAACTTTAACATCTTGTTCAGCTCACTTCATTCTACATCTGATTAGGTTTTGGACCTGTTAGCTCAGTCATGTCAGCCATTTTGAATGTTTTAAGAAAAGTTAGCGTGCGATAATACTTTGTATCATATTGAATGGTGTTTTTCAATTTTCATACTTTAACTATTTAGTAGCTTTATAAATAATTTCAGGTGTACTTTGTTGTAAAAGCCTATGTTATTGTTAACAGTAGTAATATGTGATAATTTTGTAAAAGGAAATCAGCAAAAACTCATAATCACTTTTTTATTGTCGGCCATTTTGGATTTTTCCGTCCTAAAATCTTGTCTGTAAAGTCTTGTCTACGCGTTTTTAGGTGAACCGTTTGGTAGATCAATTTCAAATTTTCAGGGATGATTCTTAATATGAAAATCTAGATCTGATCAGTTTTTGGGCATTCTAAGTAAATGTCAAGGCAGCCATTTTGGATTTTCCGTCCTAAAATCTTGTCTGTAAAGTCTTGTCTACGCATTTCCAGGTGAACCGTTTGGTAGATCAATTTCAAATTTTCAGGGATGATTTTTAGTATGAAAATCTAGATCTGATTAGTTTTTTGGCATTCTGGATAAATGTCAAGACAGCCATTTTGGATTTTCTGTCTTAAAATCTTGCCTGTAAAGTCTTGTCAACGCGTTTTTAGATGAACCGTTTGGTAGATCAATTTCAAATTTTCAGAGATGATTCTTAGTATGAAAATCTAGATCTGATTAGTTTTTGGGCATTCTGGGTAAATGTCAAGGCAGCCACTTTGGATTTTCTGTCCTAAAATCTTGTCTGTTAAGTTTTGTCTACGCATTTCCAGGTGAACCGTTTGGTAGATCAATTTCAAATTTTCAGGGATGATTCTTAGTATGAAAATCTAGAAGAGATTAGTTTTTTGGCATTCTGGATAAATGTCAAGGCAGCCATTTTGGATTTTCCGTCCTAAAATCTTGTTTGTAAAGTCTTGTTTACATGTTTTCTGGTTAGCTGTGTGAGGGATCAATTTCACATTTTCAGGGGTGGCTCTTAGTATGAAAATCTAGAATTGACTAATTTTTGGGCATTCTGGGTAAATTCTAAGGTGGCCATTATGGATATTCCCTCCTCAAATTGTGTCGGTAAAGTCTTGTCTACTCAATTTTAGGATAACCATTTGACGGGATCACCCAAAGGTGGGGACATTTTGTACACATTTGTGTTCTTGTTAAAGTAAGTTATCTAGACAAAACAACTCCCCGGTGGATTTTGCGACGGCTTTGATCTACGATGGCTGTTCGACAAAATGAAAAAAATGCGACTGCCGCGCGAATCTGCCTTTAACTTATATAGTAGAGGGGTTCTTCAGCGTTCATGCGCCGGCCGTAGTGGCCTTGCGTTTAATGTGCGTATATCCTGTGGTTAACATAATTTATTATTGCAGGTACAAAAAGGTTGGCCTGACGCGAAAATTTCACGGTCGCCAACAGCCGGTCCTGTGGTACCTGTGATTAAGTGCCATTGCGAAATGCAAAACACCCTGCGGGCAATGCTTATTTGTCTGTCATGTGGAATTTTCATATTAGCAATAATCAATTGAAAATATCATAACATCTCACATACCTGATCTATTATCTTGTATTGTCGAAAAATGTTCCTTCAATTTCGTTGCCAGCGTCACCGACTGAGATACCCATTTGGGGGCAAAAGGTAAGATGCCGTGGGTTACATGATCGTATTATTACGGATTAAAAGGTTCAATGTAATTGAAAGGAACTTTGATTTGTGGCTAAAGTATTACATAAAGGTTGTTTTAATAACCATTTAAGAATTTAGCATTGTGATAAGGGCGCACAAATTTGCCATTCTTCTAGGATCAAGAGGGTATGCATTCTGTAAGAAGAATAGGGGATTAATCGGGGTTTGGAATCTGTGGTCACTGTCAATAATACAAGTTGCACTCAAAACCTTTCCTTTAGGTCAAATATTTTAATGTGTTATTAAAACGAAGGTAAAATTTAAAGAAGGGGTGAATAGCCGATTGAATATATTGGTAATAAGAAAATGGTCGGGGAGAGGGTCTGATTGGAGACAAATGATAATATTTTGACATTGAAGTGTAGCCAAAATTATAAATTCTGAACTTTCGAATAAGTGAAATGATATTTCATAAATAAATTAAATATTACTAATATGCAGGGTGAACACTATAGGGTGTGACATCTCATTTTTTAACATATCAAGTAGACATTTTTTTGCTCATTGACACTGTGTAAATGGAAGCACTGGTGGATTAGCAACCCCCCCTAAGATGGGTCCAGAGAAAAATTTGGGTCAAACAATTTTAGGGGCCTTTTGGGCATTTAGGCCAAATTACATAGAAAATGGGCCTTAAATTTTCAAAATGTCAGTCAAGATTTTCATTTAGGCACCCACGATTTTCAGACTTGAGATTTGCCCCTCCCCCTCCTTGTTAGTTTTCGGATCAGCCCTTGTTAGTTATAAGCATCGTCGTGTAATCAGCTGCAACTTACAAAAATTACATTGAAATTCGATACCCAGTCTGAGACTTACCTTTAGTGAGTAAGATATACCCTAGCTTTTCATGTAGAAGGGCTTTCGCTACAGTCAGGTGCGGCGTGGCACCTTTAGCTTGCAAATAGAGACTGGCAGCTTTGAAGGAATGTCAGATAACATGACAGACAAGGTTTTTTATGTGCCATTGGCTCAGTATAAAAATGGACATCTTTTTGATTGTGCTGTTTATAATCACGTAAGAACTGATTTGTTTGGGAAAGTTTTAACGCAATTAAATACTTTTCAAAGATGGACAAAGTTTTAAACAGTATTTACGTAAATATGTTGCAAATGCCCCTAGCCAAATGCTGGAATTGAGAGAAAACCACCTTTATAAATGACTAAACACGTTTTACAGTGTCTTATAGGTCGTTGTCGGCCGGGGGTATTTTAAATTTGGGTGATATGTTTTCAATATGATGTATGTACCCATGACACTTTCAATAAATCAAATGCATAAATAAATGAACACTTAAAGTAAAACTAACTGACACTCAATGCTGAGTGTCATCTGTCATAATTGTATGAGAATAAAATTTAAGTTTCCATGTCGTGAATAAAGTTTTAATGTATGCAAATTAAATGACGTTCTAGCCCAAATTTGTTTCTGACATTATTATGATGATATTTTATGATATTTTCCAAAGGAGTATGTAAAAGAGTGTGGTGTTTCAAAAGTCTACGTTGATCGTGTAGAAATCAAGGAAACTGAATAATAGTAAAAATATCTGCACACACGCTTTACATATTACATGCAAAATCCTATACCGTAGGCATATTATTGCTCATTGTGCCGTAAGACCACTGTGATAACACTCTTTTGCCAATGCATTAAAATCAAAACGGTAAATTCTCATAAAAAAGTTTAAATGTTTCTTTTGACATCTTTATATTCTGGTCATGATTGCTTTAGAATAGTACCACGTTATTTCGAGATATTTTAGATTTTAACTGATTTCTCAAAGAGCTAAACATTTCATAATTCTAAAAGATTAAAAAGTTCCACAGGTTGTACTGTACGTTAATGATCGGACATTTAAAATATAATTCTGAGGACGAGACTTGCATCTCTGTTAGGTGGCATTCCCCCGTTTAGCTTTAAGTTTGTTCTGTTTTTCTTTTACTGAATATTTACACCGTACTAACGTTAATCTTTTTAAGATAAATATGTTGATTAGCTACCAAAGTGTTAACATCCCCCGAGACGCTACAAGGGCGAACGATACACACGTTTGAAAGGCAATATATCATTTATTAAATTAAAGTCAAAACAGGAAAAATAACTTAACAATTAATTTAATTATACAGCTAACATCGATCCATTTGTTTGATAATGTCTACTACTTTTTCACAGCAATTTTTCATGCATGACATGCATTCGACTTGTTGCCCGCGTGCGTCTTGGCAAGTGTCACAAAGCATATGGGCGCCGGCAAATGTTGGATTGACTTTTTTCCTCTCAATAACCTGTTTAACCTCTCGTAGACTATCTTGACATTTTTCAAATCGTTCGCATTTTTCAGCAAATATTTCCATAAGTACTTCTGGGTCAAGTTTTTCGAAATCAGGCTGTTGTTTTAACCTCCCAACAGGTGTTCTTTTCAACCAAGCGTAACTTGAGTCTTTGAGTTTTTGGAGATTGTATTTTTGTGCCAGGATATAGTTCTGTATGCATCCAGATCGACACATTAACAAGTCCTCGCATCGTTTCATCAATATGTCCACTTGGTACTCCTGGATCAACGGCAAGATCTTGGTAATATTCGAACCTGAAATTGGAATAATCAATTTTTGTTAAGTTCTACATGTATTCTTCATTGTCGTTGAGTGCACAGTGATACTATAGTATACATACAGTGAATCGTATTGTAATAAGTCTTGCATCATTCAAGTCTGGATCATCCGGTACAAGACGAAGTCAATGTAAGGTATCTGTTGAGATCGCAAACAACAATATATTGTCAGCAATAATGAGTTGATAAACCTGCCATTACGTTGAACCACATTTCTGAGCTTTTGTTTTCGTTTCAATAGCACATTTGTTGTGCAATCTTTCCAATAAGTCAGTTCTCAGACATTAGGGAGTTTAAGCTTGCAATGTTTTCCACAACCTAAACCTGAACGGAAAATATTTAAGCGATGCATTTCTATGGGCGATTGGTCACACGTATAGGTTGGTGTTTCGATTTTATATGCAAGCTTAAACTCCCTTTTATACATCGAGGGATACTGAATGAGATACCGTAATGCTAAAATGAGATTCTGTTAATACTAGTGTAAATGTTACTATAGGGACCCGACATAAATATACATTCTAGCTAGTTTCTATGGTAACCATTGAGAAATGTGTACCAGAATTTTTGAGATTACGATCCACAAAAGATGAGTTGTGTAAGACTGAATCGATAGCTTGAGAATCAGATAGTATACCACTGATTTCCTCGTTGGGTGGGTGCAGCACTTTCAAGAATTCTATGACTTCTTCGTAAGATTTATGCGGGAGATTGATCTCCATAGCATTCTTCTCCTTGAAATCTCTGTGGAACATGGCTTCCATAACCGGACTCCACATCGAGAGAATAGTCTTGTTTGCGTATATCTTCTTGTCTTCTACGATAAAAATGATATCACCAAATTGCCAAGGTTTGCTGAAGTCAATCTTTGGCCCGTCCACATTCTCTGTCTCGGCCATTGAACTGAAATGCAAAACATGAAACTAGCTGAGACTGAAACTAGCATACAACATGGATATAGCTCAGCTTTAGATTGAGACAAACAGATAAAAGGCCATAATAACGTCAGTATCATCAGGCCCGTAGCCAAAGGGGGGGGGGGGAATTCGCAGGGTTCGGGCGAACCCCCCCCCCCGGCCAATCATGTAGTTTTTCACCATTTTGAGCACTTCTCAAGTGATTTTAGTCATATTTGGGCCAAAATTGTCAAATGTGAACCCCCCCCCTGGAAATTTTTGAAAACTGACCCCCCCCCCCCTTTAGGGCAAATACTGGCTACGGGCCATGTATGATTATCTTAAGGCTTTCCTAATAAAGCTACAAATCTACGTCAGTACGGATTGCATCACAACTCTATACAGCGTGACATGTAGCTTAATGTTAGCTAAAGTAAAGTAAGGGGAGTACCATTTAAACTTTGGTACCTAATATATTTATCCAAAACCTACATATTTTCCAGAACATTCAAGTTTTCTACTGCATACCATACAACTAGGTAGACTGCAGGTACAAGTTACAAGCTTGAAAAAATCCCTATAATGTTTTTTCTGGGTTGTATATCAATTAGGATTGTACAAGTTGTTCTCATACTGTATTGAACCCGGGATTGAACCCCAAAACGCCATGACCAGTAAAATCGGAAATGATTGCGCCACATATCACTTAATGGTCGACCCTGATATACGGTATCTCAAGCCTCAAAGCAATAGCAATCATGTTGCAATAAATACTAGCATACAAAAATAACCATGTTAGTTTGATGTATCTCTTGCAGTAACACACGTTCATGATCAGCCAGCCAGCTGTTCCCTCTCTGCATATGCAAGTGATAAGTAAAATGTAGAATGGTACACTGATAGACATTTCTGCACGAAAATAGAATGCTACCATTCATGCCCTTTCCTACAACTATTAGTGAGTACTGGAATGCATATATTCTCATTCAAAATAAGCCCAGGTGTAATTATTCGTAGTATCAAAACAAACAGGTTCCCCAATCAAGTTGCATATACCGTTATTAGGCCCAACCGATTCTTTAACCACCACCCCTTGCCCTCAGTTTTGCCCATTCCGGACACGTCGTTTTTCCAGCCCTCCAACGTTTGACTGGAGGAATACATTTGTGTTTGTTTGCAGTGTTTCGACTTTTATACACGTTATCAATGTATAGTCGGGAGTAGCTGGATTCTCCCTTTGTAACCCAAGATTCGAATTCTATGCCTTACTGCAATTCCACGGGGCCAATTCCATGTTACCAGGACTCCATTTGAAATAATTTCCGAGACTAAAACCGTATACTTACGCTGGGTTACTGTGAGTTGAGATTGAAGCAGATACGATGTCTACGATGCCTGATTATATTCCTATGGAAATCTCTGCCAAGTCATTAGTGTTGTAGTATAACATGTATGTGTTTCCGAGTCCTGAAATCCTTTCTTCTTTCTCTGTATTTTCAAGAATACTCTTCCCCTCTTGGAATATCAGAACACTAATACTTGTACATGCAGTAAAATAACAGACAGTCGACCTAATACTCTGTTTGCATTCTTTCGGTGTAGGTCATACTGTGGTTTATAGTGTACACTTATAAGTTCAGTCATGAATAAATAAAATGTTGCCTTACCAAAATAATGGACTTGTTGTATTGGATTTCGAAGGCAGGACTAATCGCTCAATATGCTCTTTCGACTAGTCTATGTATACGGCCAGGGAGATACGGCCAAAGATCAAAAGTATAGAATATTGAAATAGTCGATCAAAATTTACGTTTTGAGCTAACTTGAATTTTCAAAAAGGCCTTATAGTAGTAGTTAATCTGTCCTGTTTTTAGTCAGTTTGATATTATCTGAAATAATGAGTTATTTGTATTTAGCCATTGCCGCTCTCCACTGGGTCTAGTGAAGTAGGAATCGAAACTACAGTACTTTGTGAATCAAGATGGTATTTATTCCAATGATAAGTATGAGCTAATATATATTTTAATATCCCCATGTTATCACTCAAGCAGTAGTTACTTGTTAAGTTTATCTCTTTGGCAAACGATTTTTTCCTTTTTTACTCGTGCTTTCTTTTTTTCTCTTTCTTTCTGGGGGGGGGGGGGGGGTCAGATCTAGCGAGCAAGCTAACCCGAAAGTGTTAGAATTTTAGAATATTTTCGGCTCGTATCATTCCTTGTCATATCTATTTTTGAAATCCCTAAAGTACATACTCTATTTCAGGATAATTAAAGATTTTTTTCAATATGATGTATTATAGTGTTACCATATTTATTATTTTGGTAGAATTTAAACATCCCCCACTTTTGCACTAATCAAATTTGGGTAATTATGCTATACGTTCACTTCATTTTGATTACTAATTTCATTTTCATGAAACTTCCGCACTCCACTAAGCTAGTATACTAATGGAACAAAATATAGTTTCAACGAAGATCATTTATTTCATTATTTCAATGTTTTTCACCTTAACAAATAAAATAAGATAAGTGAAACTTTCATAATGATTACAGAGATAGAACACAATTTAATGATACAATGTGACAATGTATAACAGGGTGCATCTCACTTCAAATAGAAATGCAAATAATGTCGATTGTCACTCGAAAACGTTCATTAGAACAATGTATCTTTGATGTAGTTGTCACGGATTTTTTGGATTAGCGGAGATAGATGTCCATATTTAAGAAACCAACATTTTCCGGCGCTCGACAATTTCACCTGTTCAGTGACAGGATATACTCCTCCAAACAGCATAATGTTGCCATGGTTTCCACTAATATCCCTCTTAAACGTTCCTTGATTAACGACGTCGCCTGGAAACGAGATTCAAAATAAGACGGGGACAAATGGCGTATCATATTTGCAATTGATATGTGCTCGCAAAAAAGTCCCTTTCTACCATACTTACATATTTACTCTTTGGTTGCTATTACGACTATGACAACCAGGTGAGATGGAGAGTCGAGTAAAGAGGAATGTATCACCAGATTAACTTTATAGCCACTCACAGCAGTTACAATTCATCAGAATAAAAACATGGAATCGTTATTATAGACGTGACGACATTTAATTAAAAATTTACCCGAATGAAGTCTCACCTAAGATGCCATAAACTCGGGGTCCAAATCCTCCATGCTGATAAATACCAAATTGCATATGGTCACGTCTGATTTCAATTTCAGTCACGATTTTTCCAAGAAATATTTCAGCAAATCTGCCTCGAATCATCATCCTTGCGAAACCAAAGTTCACACGACTCTCTGAACCCCACGCATATGTATCCCTACCGTCGCTAATTCCATTCTCATCAACCGTAATTCTGGCTCTATCAATCCGAATCGCAATTACATCAACCCAATTCGCTGCACGTGTTTCATCAGGACTGAAGAGTCTTGCTCTGATTTCTGAATTCAAATTACAATGTGGAAATTTTATATTATACTAAGTATAATATGATTGAAATTGTAGCCATCTCATGCGTACAGTAACTAATTGCAAAGGTGTATGATTAATACATATCATTTCACGCCTGTCATTAAAATTCGTTTATCAAATATTGTCAAATTGTAGAGAAAACCTGGATCTTATTAGAAATATATTATGTTATTGTAATGCCAGGTTATAAATTGTTCATGTTATCATTTTGTGGGCATGGTTTGTATGCTTATTAGCATCTGCTATTCTACTATAAAATATGAAAAAGTAACACTTGGTGGAGCTGTCGGGTTAAAATTTTAAAATGAGGGTGTGTGCACGTATCGAAATGAATAAATGAATATTTGATTTCTTAAACTCACCAAGATGCCGTGTCTTAACAAACTGAAATATTTCGCCTGTTTTACCCACAACGTCGAAACAGAAATTTGTATTAGATCCGTCGTTAAGCTTGACAGACACATGAGGGTCGCCTGGAAAAAGCAAAAATATTTTTGTGGTAGAACTATTGTTCAATAAACATAAATATTCATTCAAAAGACAGTTACATTAAGTCTGACAAGGCGATAGGAAAGTATTTCTAGTTCAGATACGAATTAAAAAATTAAATGCAATTGAAATGGCTCACCACAGACCCAATTACCACCGTTCCCTTCTTCGCACTTGCTTTTTCCTTTTTTGGTACAGTGTTGATCTTTTTCACATTCGCTACACATGCCCTTTCTGCAGTATGGCTGGTTGTTACAACATTCGCAGTCTTCGTCTTTTTCACACTGAGTGGGGGTATCGCATTCTTCAATTACATGAACATGACATAAGTTGTCCCTACTCGGCAAAATTAAAAACTGGACAAATATCAAGTTCGACAGAAGTTATTTTCTATGGAAACCAAGATGGTAATGTAGAAATACTAATGTTCATAATGATCTACCTTGTCTTTCAAATATTGCTTTATTTTGATTCATTCTGTTTATAATCCTTTCATAATTAGGGCCTTCAAATTCGCCTTCAACCACTTCTTTGTAAATCCTCTGGTCGATGTACTTTTCACCAGCTTCTTTCCATTTCCTTGACTTGATCAAAGCCTGTATATTCTTCGCCAAGTCACCATGAAAGAGGGCGTCCACGATTGCAGATTGGAGCTCAGGACAAAAACGATGAAACTTTGGAAATATACGCTTTGCTCTCGGGATGTATATGTTTTTCAAGTCAGCCTAAAGTATAATGTGAAAAATGTTGGATGTATTTATGTACTACGACGCACCTAAGGGGCAGATGATGATTTAAACTTTTTGTTGATTACATTTTTAATAAAACTTAAAACAATATAATTTAAAACCATTTTTCATCAATGAATTGTATTTCCATTATCTAATCAAGTACAGGTCATACACGAGGGACCCGATTGGCATTATAGGTGTCCCTCAATGTAACCTTTACAATTTGTTGTCATGGTTATTGTAGTGTTAGCTGATATATTCACTCATCAACATCTATTGTTTATCAGGCCACGTGCTTAGTGACCTACTTTTGTACCACGTGATGTGTTTTAACCAATAGCCGACAGGCTGCTAGATCTAAGATGTCGGACATGTCAAAACATTTGTGTTTCGAATAAAAACGCTTTATATCTCATCTTACATAAGACTTATTTTATATTAAGTTTATTATTGAACCCAATTAACAGCACAGTTATTAAATTATATAGTAAAAGATTGCATTTTAATTGGGGAGTTGGGGGCTGCTGCCTCTGCCTATAGGGTCCTGAGTGGGAACAACGATAGAATAATATGTATTGTATTGTATTGTATTGTATTGTATTGTATTGCATTGCATTGCATTGCATTGTATTGTATTGTATTGTATTGCATTGCATTGCATTATATTGTATTGTATTACATTATGTTGTATTGCATTACATTATACTGCACTGCAATGTACTGTACTTGACTATACTGTTACTGCACCGTATTGTACTGTATTGCATTGTATCTAACACTACTTAATCTGAAATAAAATGAATTAAAAAAGATAGATATCAGAAGAATACATACCTTTAAAAGTTTCAAAGCCTCATTTTCCTTTATCTCCTGCTCACCTATCTTAACAAGATCAAAATCAACTTTTGGGAGAACCTTTTTCCAATCCCTCTTTGCACCATCTCGGCTCATGTTAAATCCCACTCCTATTTTGAACAGTCATATAATTGACTAAAATCGATTTGCATATACCGTGGTCACATTTGCTGCGATGCTCCACCCGGCCGATGAGTATTTTGTTCAAATATGAATGCAGTTTTGTACAAAATGCTAAATCGGGCCGGGCGACGGTACTGAAAATCGGAGCAAATATGACCCCCAGGATATGACCACGGCAATAGAATGCAATTACTCAGTTTTATAGTCACATGATACTATTTATAGTTGACAAGTGAATTATTCTCTGAAGAGGGGACCTACAAATGCTTCCACTGACAACTTATAATGGGGTAGGCAAATGATATTGAAAGACAAAGTGTTTTACAATCTGACAAGTTTCGACCATATGGTAGCAACATTGAATTGTTATTAATGTTAGCTTACTTTTACTGAAAACCATATAGTATTATTCTATTTTCCATGTAATTTGCAATGTCACTAACTGTTTGAACATGGTCGTATAAGTGATATTTACCTACGTATGTGATGCCCTTCGTGTCCCAGTATGGTGTCGTTTTCAGTTCTTCATGCTTCTTAATATAATCCGCGATGGCATCAATACTGTATGTAGACTCTGCAATAAAAACAGCTGTCTAGCTATGTCACATACATTCCTATTACTATCTATGAATATCTCGTTTCGTTTTTCTGATTCTATCATGATCGGAACTTGTTTTTATCATTTTGGGGACATTTTGGCATTTGACATGTGTGTACTGTACTTCTGCATTTTCATTTTTCCTGTTTAAAAAGTAGTGGAGCCATTTTTGGATCACATGTTCAATTGAATTAACAGAAATAGTACTGAAATATATTACTTATCTCATTGCCTTTCTTACCTTGTTTGGACCTATCACCGTGTTCTTTGCTCCCATGTTCTTTGCTCCCATGTTTCCCATATGCAATAGTGGCAAATACGATCAACATGAACAGCTTTAGTCCCCAAGACATGATCGTTCAGTAAAAGTTGTTTTTAATCGAAAAATTCTGAGTTTCCAACGATATGTTAACCCCAAATTTCCGTTGATGTTTTTTGCCAATGCATCAGTATGAATCACAAATGTGTTGTCCTCTTTCCTTTGATCATAAGGTTCGGATACTATCCTAAACCAATCACTCTTGAGTATTCTAATTATAATCCACAGATGTATTTTATTTGCGGATCGTTATTTTAATTGTCAACTTAATATTTACAAAACAACTTTTATGATCTATACTTATAGGCAAATCTATTCTTTTGGTTGCATCTTTGTAGAAGTCAAATGGGTGTAAAATAGAATAATGAAAGCATTAGTTGGCATTTGATTTTGTTCCAAATCACTGGTTTCCAGAATATGTTTGTCTAAACCTAGGTGGGAGAACACGGACTTGCTCAATTGGTCCAATCTACAGAATCGGCCTAAAACGTCCACTTTTTATTTCGATATACCTTTTCTTAAAATGCATAGATTTCAATAAAAGTTTGGCAGGATATGTAAAAATCAATCTTTAATTTACAATCGTTTCTGTTCAAAGTGGGACTAATATTTCTCTAGGGAGTTTTGTACAATAGGTAAACAGACATGAGGGGTCTATTTGAAAAATCACAGATTTCAGAATGTTATTCGAAGCAACAATTTTCAGTCTGTCAGAGACACACATAAGCAGGCTGTTCAGTTTATTCTGAAATAATTTCCATTCAAAAATGGAATATCAGAAGTATCATAAGGCGAATGACTAGAAAAGTGATTCAGCATCAAGAGAAAATGATATGGTGATTTTGAAAAATCTGTCTTTACCAGGTTTACAGTGAAACCTATTTCGAGATCTTATTTGTGGCAAGAAAGATAAGTATGGTGCTTGAGTGAGCCCACATATTAAAGAACCCTCTACCTCCAATCACCTTGGTTTTTACGCTTAAAAGTGTCTCATATCTGTGGCTCACAAAAAATGCAAAAAGTGCTGTTAAAAAATCGAGGGGAGGTCAGATGTCCAGTAAAAGAAAATATTATCTGCCCAACACAAGAAAAGATGTTTCACTTTTTGTAGTTTTACAACATGGGGTCTATGGGGAATCTCCCCGACCTAAGTCACATTTTCAAAGAAAATTAAATTTTCAAAGTTGATAAACTCTTTTCAAAACCACATTGTTAGATGTAATTTTATATGTAGATTCCAAATATGACATCAGTTTGACTGAATTGTGAATTTTAATGACGTAAATCAAGATTATTTCTACTCGCATCTAGGATATTGCTAGATTTCTGTAATGATGAATTGTTTGACGTAAAATGCCCCCCCCCATGAGATAAATAGAGATTATCACAAAGCAGTTCTACGCAGTTCCGCTTCACATATAGTTGTTAATGTTCCTAATACCAGTATGTTTGTCAAATGAATGGTTTCAACTCGAATATTGGATTGTTCACAAACGGATATTCATCTTAATGGCCCATTTATTTATCTTACATAAAATGCATATAAACAACACTGAAGAAATTAAAGCTGCGCTTGTTGCCATCGGTTTTAATGAAGCTTTATCATTATTCAACAACATCCATATCAAACATCCGTACATTTTATATTTCAAACATGAATATGGTACGGTCAGATTGATCCCATTATTGAGGACTACCTAAATTGTTCATCTTGTGTGGACAAATCATACTAGTATACGTATATCTGCCAATTTGTGCCATTTTTTATTATGTTCAAATATTTGCATTGTAATATACGTTTTGTGTTAAACCCAGGCTTTTGTATACAAAAATGCATGTCTGACTGTTGTCGTGAGTGGTGATATCATTTGATGCTATATAGAGTAGTCACTCAGTCACACATGTCTTGCAACATATTCTCCTGAATTAATGGAAATAAAATGTAGAACATGTAGAATTGTGGGTATCTGGGTATGATATTTGCCCCTGCTTTGTAGCATTGACTTGACCAATTAAATATAAATGTATAAGGAAAAATATCTATAATTAGATTCCTTGGAAAACAATTGAGAGGGGATATGATCCATTGAGGGTTACAATACATGTAGTATTTGTTCTTTTAGGAAATGTGGACCTTAACCTCCATATTTAATAATATTTACTCCGATTGAAAGATGGCAATGCTTGTTTACTCTTAGATATCGATATCAAGTAAAAAAAATCTGAACGACACATTTAGGTTAGAAGGTGTTCCCATTTCAAGGTTTGTTAACATTACAATCAACTGGTCAATGTCCTTAGAAATTGGACATATAAAAACCATCACATCAAGAAATGTCCAGATTTACATGTTTTATTGTTTACTGTATAATTTGATAATAAACTCTATGGTAGAGAAAACGTATTTTATCTTTAGAATAAAATATCAGTGTTTAAAACAAGTATTGTAATTCTTCAAAAACAAAACAATCGCCTACTAAATCTTAACGTTTTCTGTTACTATATTTTCTCTTCATTAATCTATATATGACACACGAGTACTGTCAATGTTTAAAACAGTGTCTTCTTAATATATTGCTTAAGCTTTTTGTCAAACTGGCCATGTTGGCCTTTAAGGAACCAACATTTTCCAGCGCTTATCTTTCTGACTTTCTCTTCAATCGGAAAACGTGAGCCAAACAGCTTTATGTTACCATGTTTACTGTGGCTATTAGCAGGGATGACCTCTGCTTGATTGGCTACATCACCTAAAAGAAAATCAACAATTTTAAAATGAAAAATTCCTTTTTTACATCCGCGTCCAAGCACAAACTTGGTCAACGAATTAAACAAATAAAAATATATCGAATAAACCTTATAGCCTAATTGTTGACAGTGTTACGATGACTAAACCTTTTCTATGTCCAAATCATTTGAAAATGCTGTGAGTGTAGTCAGCTTGGCCCAGATACATCAAAAGAAGTTCATATTTATATATCTCTGCTGGTTTGGGCCATATTTTACTGACCTAGAATACCATGAACGCCAATCCCTAGCCCGCCTTGTTGATGTATGCTGAACTTCAAATTTGGAATCTTTCCACGTTTAATTTCAATTTCAATAACGATCTTTGCCACCACAATTTCTGCATAATTCTCTCGAACTAACAGGTTCATCTGACTCGGTTCTTCAATAGCAATATGTTGTAATGGTCCCCATTTATACATTGTTGTTCCATTGTGAATTCCATTTTTGTCGATTACGATTCGAACATTGTTTGTCCCAATAGCTATTTCCTTAGCCCATCGACCCCTATATCTTTTATTTGGGCTGAATATTTTCATCCTGATATCTGAAAGTAAATGACACATGGGTGGTTTTTATTCAACCCTGAAACACAAAATAGTTTCGATAACCAAACAGTTACGGGAACTATATGGTAATAACAACTACAGGTCATTATTATTACAAAGGAACCTGGTGCAAAACAGCCATTCATCTCATTATCCCAACAACACAATTTCGAATTCGAACTAGTCTAAATTTGGTTCAGCCAAAATGATAAACACTAATCACTAATTATCTTGCCCCACATCTAGACATCTTTTCAGGTTCAAAAAGTTACTATCAATAGTTGAGTGAATCTTCGACCTATAATTATTGAATAAACGTGTTATCAATGACGTATATGTACAAATTGGACATGACCGTCTTCTCCAAGGTTCCCATGGCTACTCACCGATGTTAGTATCATGAACGAGTTGGTATATGGCTCCAGAATTACCAGCGATGTCAAAGCAGAAATGAGAATCCAAACCATTGTTCAACTGGACATCAAAGTGAGGATCACCTGATGAAGAAATTTATATTCATATTAAGTATGGTTAAATCATTGAAGGATAAAGGTCCATGGTTAACCCTACGGTCTAGTTGTGAATTGACTATTGCAAACCAAGGTCCATCCATCCACCCCACACCTCGACTTGATGTTCAAACATCCCTTTGTAATCCTAAGGATCACGATTTGGATGAAGGAAAGTCAAACTACTGCAAATGGTATGTACAGGGTGGGCCAAAAAACGTCCACATTTTTTATTTTTGTAATATCTGCTGATATGTTGGAAATATGAATGGCTATTGGTGACTCCATTGTTGCATTTGTAAATCAATTTTCTTTCATTTGGTACATAAGTCAGCAATTTTGACCTTCTATAGTTAGAATTATATCCCTAAAGCTGACATAGGGGTTATATCTGTCTGATCAGTTCTTAGTGTTATGTATTCAGCAATTGGTAAATCATGATTTTGACCGCTGTGATAATCGAAATGATATTTTAAGACAAATGCTCATTTATATTGAATGAATTATATATCATTTTATTGTAAATTGAATTGTCTTTGCAATGATAGATTATTTATACATTTGTCTGTAATATCAACAAGGCTGTAACACAAACAAAAATGTGAACGTTTTTTGGCCAACCCTGTACAGTGGCGTTGAGTCTTTAAACACCAACATCCTTCCATTTTAAACCTTTGTTAGTAGAAAACTTCTTAAAGGGACAAAGTGTGTAAATGAAGTCTTGTCACTTTTGATCTTCATAGTTTTTCCAATGGATTAATTAGTACCTGATCTTTCATTTGACACCAAAAAAACAGCTCAAACAGACCACATTAGAGTTGACACTAGATCATGAAAAAATATTTTTGATCTATCAATTTATATATGTCAAGTTTTTAGCAATGCCATAGAAAGATGGCATTGTTGTTTGCATTAATTATCCATTCATTTTTGATAGGATTTTCAACCATGCGCCATCTTTAAATCCAAGAGTTACTTAAAAACATACACTTTGTGAAAAGTGGTAATTCACTTCTTTTGATCTTTGAACTTCAAATGCTGTCTTCTATGCGAGTAATTTTTTTTCACTTCAGAATTGACACAAATTAAAGTTCTAATCATATTTTATTGACTGTGTGAGTGACATGTCTGAAATGATATTTTGTCCTTTTTCCTTCAAAAATAGGCGCATTACCTGTTTTATAACTAAAACGTATACTAGTAGTTTTAAAGTATACTGATACTGAAACTTGTGTCTGTATAGGCATGATACTAACCGCACACCCAGTAGCCGACGTCTCCCTTGACACATTTGTCTCTGTTTGTACCACTACAGTGAGAATCCGAGGAGCATTCACTGCAAATTCCGTGACAACAATATGGCCGCTCACCACAACAATCACTATCTACTTTACACGCTGTATAAAAGAAATTCAAACAGGTCTGTTCTTCAGGGTGTTCACTACATTAACACCTTGACAAGTTTACAAAAATGCTATGTTTCAGAAGCATGACAAGAGTCAGTACATACATGTGAGTATCATTTTGATAAAAATTCGTTTATCATCTTTTATATTTGATAGAAACATTTCTTAGATATATGAAGATATTGCAGATGTTATATGGAATTGAAATACGGTCATCATGTAAGAGTAGTAAAGGGAATACACGAGATAATATAGCCAATAAAAAGAAAGATTGCAGCAGGAGACTGACGTCAAACACAATCGCTCATTTGCAACCTTTTCAAGAAAAAAGAAACTTACCAAGTGGAAGATCTGGTTTAACTAAAATAACAAAGTAACGTATTAATGTAAAAATTGGAAAAATGGTGCAAAATCAAATACTCAAGAGAAATGATTTTGATTTCCTTAACTGGGAGACAAAAGCGTATTTAAACTTGCATTTGCATATAAAAAAATTACCAAATAGTATAGTGAATAAATTAGATCGGGAGCTTATTACTTAAACCTTACTTAACGACTGGATAGTGTAAAAATGGAAGAGAATTAATATTTAGGATATTTAGGATTTTACCGCAGACATAATTCTTGCAAACGAAACAATCATCTGATGACTCTCGTCTGCATTCATCATCGGAGCAACATTCAACTAAAATTGAAGAATGCAACAATATAATTTAACTAGACCTTAAATCATTGCATTTACCATTTATTTACTTGTTAAAGCTAATAATTTATAAAAGATGTCAGCAAAAAAAACTGTACATATCAGACACGTACCATCACGATGGCATACAAGACAATCAGCGCCCTGACACAATGCTTCGGGTACACCACATCCCGTCTTCTTTAAGAAGCATTCACAGTTAATCCAAACTCCTTTATCATTATGACCACATGGGCATCTAAAACAATATCCAAAATTGCTCATTTACCCTTTCTCACCAATCACTTTAATTACCATAATAGTACAATAACGTCATTTCAAAGGGCAATATAGTGAAATATTGGACCAAGGTCCAATATTTCACTATTTTGCCCGCAGAAATGACGTTATTACTATTATTACCACCGTTAATGCCCAGGGCTGATATAGCAAATTTGAAATAGAAAATATTACGCACTGAACGATATCATTTTTCCCGGGAAACATAGCCGGGCGGATAATGTCATTATTGCCCGACTAAAGTCATTAACGCCCGACACAATATTGCTCACGTCAATATAGCAATTTAAATGCCTTCTCAGCTAGTACTAAAACCCCTAGAACAGGCCCTGCAAGGTGGTAATAATTATAAATGCCAGGAAACACGCATGGGCAACAGTCCTATAACACCGACCCGATTGGTTTGACTCGTCACTAAGTGGGTAGAAAGATGGCAGCTTCAATGTAGTATATAACAGACTGCCCAACATTTTTCATAGTCAAATAAACAAGTTGGGCCGGTTGATAGTATCTTACTCTCCGAGATAGCATACATGAATTACACGGTCTAAAATCAAAGACAATATCTGGTATTCATTTTTTAAGAGTTGTAATAATGTCACATTACCGATCGTAGCACTCACAACCATCAGGTCCTAAAGTGGATATGGAACAGTCTTTACAAGTACAATTACAAGGACAGTTCCCATCTTCATCCCAGATATCCATTGTTTTGCCATCTTCACAAGGACAGGAGCACTAAAACAAAAAGTAAAATCCTACTTCAAGTTTTATTGCTAGTACATAGGATATATTAAATTTCCAGAACGATTTTTCTTTTACGTTTCATTTCAGGGGAATATGTTAAACGTATATGCTGCATGTAACAGTATACATATACTTGATCAGTAATATTTGGATTTAGTTATAACGACTGTAATCTTTAAATGATTCACGAGATCTACGTGTACTCACATCGCATGTTCCATCAGGTTTCATCTTGTCTCTGAGCTTTCCATCTAAACAGGGGCACGGGCACCATCCCGAGCCATCGCCTTTCAGTCTTTCAGGTTTTCCATCTGGACATTTCTTGCAAAGACATTCTCCGCCTTGTTTCTGAAAGATATCAGTTTAGTTTTAGTTTAGAACATATGGTATAATTATAACACGAACATGAACGCTGTATTATCATACTTACAGATCGAGGCGCCGAACGCCGAACACCCGTCGCCGACAAACCGCCGAACACAATACACAAAAACTTGTAGACTACAACAATATGTCACCACCATGGAAATTAATATGACAAATGAAACTCACCTTGACACTCGGTGTTCCATCAGGACAAGTACACTTACAAAGGCATTCCTTGGTTTTAGCGTGAAGTACGCCGTCTTCCCCTGTCTCGTTGCACTTACAGCAGCTTATTCCAGGGATATCTAATGGTATACATAATCTGAAAGGCAAAGTGTGTATTGAGACAATGAAGACATCATTTTGGATTATTAATCAGGATGTTGATGAGGCTGCTCATAATATTTACTTCAATATCACTGCGATCTCACGAACAATTTCCAATAAGTTGATCTTTCCTAACGTATTAAGCTCTTGAACCCACTCATGTATAGCTTAGACAAATATGTATCAATATATTTGTATGAAATATCATGCATTTTAACTTACGTTTTATAAAACATTAAATTCGGAGTTTCCAGATCCAAAATAGGAAACTTCCTTGCAAATACGATAACATCAAGATCAAGTTCAGCCTTGATTCTTTGCAGTCCAGCTTTGAATGATATTCCCAGTTCTTTTTCAGGTTCATTAACACAATTCTCAGCGCACAGCTCTGCTTTTACCTCGGCTATGAGGGGAGCTTCAATCGATAAATCAATTGGTGCCTCGAAGTCATCCTCTGGATCTACAGAAATATATGGAACGCATCTGGTGTTTATGTATGGAATAGTTCTTTGAAACAATGAAGAATCCTAATTCGGGCCCTAATTGACCAGAAAGATGTGGATGGATCATGGGAACGTACCTTCTTTGACATACAGGTCAGCCAGATTAAGAGGTTTAACATCACTGGTTGCCGTCTTGGGAGTATCTAAAGAGAATGAACATCTCCAACATCCACTTCCACTTTTCCAGCATTCAAACGATTTACAATCGTCACTGGCAGTGCAACTGGCCTTGCATTGGTCCAATGTAAAAGGAACTTCATTGGCTTTGTTATTTGTTTTAATCCAACGGTCATTGTGGCCAACAATATTAGTATTTCTGTATTTCTTGTAAGTAATTTCACCTGAAAGTGGAATAGGAGTAGAAGTGGCCAAACAAGTTGCTGTTGATCGAGCATTACTAGCCTAAGGAGTGACTTACAACACAGTAATACTGGAATTATACAATACTCCCATACCTTCTGGACCAAGAAGAGCATCCTCAAGACTTTTTGGAAGGATCCACCTCAATTTATCCTTTAAATCTTCATCAATTCCCAATGGCCATTGAGCACCAAGTGTCGGAGTAAGTGTGGCTGTGACACCAGCCGAAGTCTTTTCTTTATGTATCTTTCCCCAAAATCCTTAGTGAATGTTGGAGTAAACTAAAAGATTATGAAAATACTAATTTGTTATGTAATGTATGTAATTTCTAATAACTATAATTTAATTTAAAAAACTCTCTTTTCTCTGGGATGAAAAATAAATGAATAATTTGGGTAAAAACTATCAATGAAAGGATTCAATTTTGGTCACAACTATGAATTGTGCTTTTAGATATTACAAAAGCTTCAGATCGACTTTTTGATTCACATATTGCATGGGATCCATCTATATAATATGGTATACTTTTGGGCTGGGATTTTCGTCACATTGTATCACTGCTTTTTCATTCATGAATGGAAGATTTATGTTTTTTAAATTAGCTCATAGTCTATACTTACGGTAGGTCTATGGATGGTTAATCCATTCTTGTATGTCCAAGTTCCACCAGCGGTTGCCAAAGCACTTGCTGAGACACTTCCTGTGACCGATGCCTTGAACTATATGTAATACAGTAAAGTGTGTTTTATTTGGAAATACTGGAATTGAATTGAGTGATTGGATGTCTTGAATAGAGTAAAGTATAATTACTGACAGTTGTAATTTTAGATTTATGCTATACGAGGGTTGTCCCAGAAGTCATGCACTATATATGCTCTAACTTAAATACAAAAGCAGACTTTGTATACTAAATCTATATGATACATGACAGATGGAAATATGAGTGACCCACTGCTAATCATGATGGCCCAATGCAGGTTATTTTGTATATAATATTTGAGAATACATATAATGAGGCCTACCTCTGCCCAAGCTACCAACTTAAAAACAAGCTTGAAATATATCTTTCCTGGTATTGGAACTCCAAATAAAGGAATAACAAACCGTCCAATGGTCCTATCAATCAATGTTTTTTCCCATGGTTTTTCCCACCTTAAAATATTGAGTATCAGTCTTTCATTTCTCTGTCTCTGTAAGTTATGGTTTATGATATAATTTATACACATTTTTTACTATCAATACAAAAACTGTAGTTACACCAATCATTGTAATTATCTAAGAGATCGTTCATAACATAACACAGATAATAACATAACATAGATCATAACGTTACACAGATAATAACATAGCACAGTATCATAATAATTATGCTTACTTACTCCTTTTCAAATGTGGCCGTCACCTTTAGCCCAGCTGTTAATTGACCCCTAAACGTTGCCCCTATTCTATGGAAGAAAGGGTACCACACTCCAATCTCAGCTGAAAACGTGACCGATGGACGGAACATCAGAGTTGGGGAAAATGTCAATGTTAAACCACCTCCAAGCTAGAAAATATTGTTAGAATATATTAGAATATTGTTAAATTACATATAGAATCATAAAATATTTTTCTTTTCAATTTTTTGCATAATTTATAAGTATTGTCCCGTTGGCATGTTCTCTTTGCCAAGAGCAGTTCACATTCACCATTTTCATATTGTTGATATGATGCATCTTTAGAAGAGTATTAAATGATATTTGAATAGATATATCGTATACTAGATATGGATTACAACTGAACTCACATCTTTTGTAAAAGGTGTACCGAAACGCCAGCTTGGAGAGAACGTTTTTGAAAATGTTGCTCGTTTCTTTCTAGCAATTGCTGTAATATTTTTAGGGACATATGTATTGTTTTCGATTTCTTCAGTAACGGGAAGTCCCTCAATAAACACATAACCATTCAGCTCTGATACGTCAACAACCTGGAACAACAACAAAATTGACATCCACACGGAATACTTAAAAGATTATTCTTCAATTCAACAACGAGTTCATTACTTTTCATACCTGCAAAAGAAAGGCTCCGGAAGCTCTACCAACGATGTGAGCTCCTTTTGTAACAGAGCTGGTATCAAGAGAGGAATCAAAGTAATGCATTGTTGGCCAGTTATCACCCCCAGGGCAAACCATTCTCTTACCACTTTGGCGGGAAGCTTCATCCGTTTTTGTGTTCGACACAATTCTGGAAAGATGGACCTTTGGTATCAGCTGTCGGAGGGAAAGTTGCATTGAACAAATGTAGTTCATGTGTTCTATTTAAACCCACCGTGTGCACCAGCTATATTCATATTGGTCTTTCTAAAGTATGGAATGAGATGCTGTCTGAGTAGAACATTATGTACACGTATTTATTGAATTGGGACTTACTCTGTGATTTTGTCTTTATCTATGGAACAATCTACAAGTCTTGTTTCCACTAATGTTGCATCAGTAATTGGTGTTATTCTTTCCACAATTTCGATATAACCTTGAGTACTGTTGTCAGTGCCAATCACAACTTCACCAATTGTGTATGTGTTGGAGACTTCATTGATTCGAATTACCAGAAATACGGAATATAGGTCACTGTCCGTTACCCCAGGCGCTTCAAACACTCGTCCAACGCACTTAAAGATGTTGTTTTCTGAAATAACAGTACTATTATGAATCCGAACAGGTAGAAAAATAATATTTCCCGTATTTGAAGTTACTGTTAAAGATCGATGAATAAGATAGGCCCTATATTGTACCTTTCATCTGTTTAAGGTTTGGCGAATTCGCTAGTGTTAGATTCCCACTAAGAAGGTCTTCAACCAGATCAGGCACAGGCTCATCTTCGACCGTTACCTCATCATCTACTGCTTCAAGATCAACTTGCGTTTCAAAATCAGTGAACAGCACGACACTGTCCAACGAGACATATTTTCCTAAGAATAGTGTGAATCCATCTACAATGCAAATTACACATGCACTTTATTAATTCTTATTAGGATGTTGTATTATTTTGCCAATTAATATTTTAATCGTTTCTTATATATTAATATCGAGGAGTCTATTACCCCTAATGTGAAAAGGAAAAACGTTTATAGTTCAACGAGAAAATATATACATTCGGAGACATAACTCATTCTGTGTTATATATTGGCCCTTTTCTGCATAATTTAAGACTTACCGAGAGTTGTGACATTTTCTACTCTGTGCAAGATACCACCCGCTTGCGCACTGGCCACGACATGCCCGCTTTGCAGCTTATCACTTAGGTCAGAATGGGTAATAAATATGTCTGTCCTTGTATCTTTACTAGTCACATCATTGCTCGAAATCTTTGTCGGGCAAAAGAAAACAGTCGCTTCTTCTTTTGCGATAACCCTCACGTCTTCTTTTATATCTGTGAATTGTATGCGATCTGGATTTGTGTAATCGGGCACTGGGATACCACCTGGACATTTGGTATTGTCCCAAATTTTACAGGTCTAAACAATGGTAAAACAGAGTGTCAATTGAGAGGGTACTAGGTCAGATTTTAAAAAAGATATTGAAATTCATGAAAAAGTATCCACTTCCATTTTACCTTCCGCAAGGAAAAGTAAAAAATATAAACGTCTAATTTCTTTCTGTGGATAGTCCTTAGTGAACTGTATCCAGTACGTTTTATTCATGATTTTGTCAATGGTGGAACTACTTGACTTTGGTCTCTATAGTATTCCTTATGTGACACATGCTTTGAAATCTTGTTTAAGAGTGAGACGCTCAAAGATTAACTTGAAGATGGTTTGGGCATAAAGGAGAGTGTACATTTTCTGGGGTTGTTTACTAAAATAAATCCGCTTGAAAATCTTGTTCCTGATCATGAGTGACAACACAACAACTGAGATTATGTTTGCTTGTTGATTATCACTCCATAATAAATAAAAAAGGCCTGTGTGTGTTTTATTAGGTCTGTCAACAATAAATAATAATATAATGGCAATTTTATGCCTTATTTTAATTGTTTATTATTTGAAAACATGCGTCAATGTCTGGTTTAATTGACATATTTATATTCAATATTGATTTTAAACAACTTGAATTATTTTTATGAACTCTTTCAAACAGGTGATTCGGTTAACGACATAACAATGTAACAACAATTCATAGTCACATTTTAATCAGTAATATATATTTACGAAGTTTGCCCAAATTCGTATTCTACGTACATGTAGATGACTTGAGAACATTTTCTAATCATATGAGAGACCACTCACATAGTTCGATTCGATCTGGTAGCAATTCTTAAAATCTAGACATTGTAAGCAGTCCTTCTCCAAATGGTTCTCTGCGCTCCGGTCGCATGCTTCTGTGCACGAAACGACCTGTAGAAAATCAACAACATTTAGCTTATGATTCCGATTCCGGATAATGCTTTTCATATGTACAAATAAATGAAAGTTGTTAAAATGGCATATACGAAGCATTTACGGGTTGTTATGTTTAACGCAAATATTTCTTACCCCTATTTCACTTGAGCATCGAGTACTCTCGGAAACTGTTAAACAATTCCAGTAAAACCAACTTCCAGCAACGAGAGCGCTATCGGGCCCTTGGTAGTCCCCTGGTAAGCACTCTGGTGATGGTTGGTCACTCCAACCGCAACGGTCGTCTTGTATGCATTTCCCACATTCACCTTGAGCTTTCGAACAAAGATTTATGTGGCAGGATTTCCCCTAAATGCACAGAAAAATGTGTAACCCTGCTATCGAAATACTGATTTTCAAACATATTAGGGTTATACTTTGAGAGGTTTTGGATAAACCTCATATTCAACACGATAGAGCCCATGGTTTCACAAGTTAAGTTTTCAGGACACGCATATCCACGTTTGTTTTCTTTAAAATGTTCTCATTCTCATTATTTTCGAGAAATCCATGGAAAATTTTAGTCAAGAAAAATTCTATCGTCTGCTGCATCCATTTTAACAGTTTCGCTACAGCAAATTTTTCTAACAAATTGAATGTGTTTACACTGAACAAAAACATTTTCCCTGGAATACTAGAGCGGGAGAAACCGGGAAATAAACAGAATGAGAGATATATGTCCCACTCCTCCAAGATATCAATTCTATATGCTCTATATCCCGCTGTTCTATGTACCTGGAACCTCACTTGTGATATTAAAGTCCATATCGAAGGTATTTGTTACATATTTCACCGGCTTCGTTTTTCAAAGGTCAACATAAGTACTCGCCATAGTCGCTAATACAGGGTGACACAAAAATGCCACCAACTTATGTTGGAATAACTCTCTCAATAATTAAGGAATCTTCATATTTTTATGTGTATAATATAGAGTGTTCAGTGGAAGACAGATTGGGCTTGCATAGCATCAATACCTTGTAAATTAAGAGATATATCATTTTCCAAAGAGACATGCTCGGACACAAAATCACTTAAAATGTAAATAAGAAGCCCTGTATATTCAAAATTCACCCAATAAGCGGGTCAGTTCATCACGTTTGACAAAATCATCTAAGAAAAATGGGTAGATATCACGTATTATTGATGATATATGTGAAAACAATCCAAAAATGACTCAAATAATGGCTAAGTCAGAATTTCAAAAGAAGAGGTGCGATTATTGGCAAATATCCCTATGGTCAAAATGAATCATTCTTAGGTGTAACATGAAGAATAGAATGTCATATTAAAGTGCTCGGGCAAACATAAGCTGATATAGGGATCATTTCGTTCAGTAAGGTTGTATTGACTTACATGGGGCTGTGCACCATTGACATAACATGAGGAAATTAGCAGATCCCAATATGGTTTTCATTGATTATCACAGAAATAACAAAAATACACTATGACCTGAATCGATTGCAAACTTAATAGTTTCACAATATGACACAAATGATTCATCTCATCAAAGGTGCAAATATGAAGTTTGCAATCGATTCAGGTCATTACTCTAAATTAAAAGATTGTACATTTTTTCATCATTTTTTCCCTATAAAATGGCTCCAAAAACATATTTTACACTTATCAAATATCATAAAACCTTGCAAAACCAAAGATTATAATATTATATTTCATTATTTAGTATCATATTTGGATAAGATGTAATGATTTGATAATGAGATGCAAATGGATTTTGATAGACACAAAACCACTTCCTGGTTTGGAAGATGATTGTTTTATGAGCCTAATAAGTGGCCAATACATCAATACAGTGCTGAATATAGGTCAACAAGATACTAGTGTGCATATAAATGTAATAATAAAAGCAGTACTCATCTTGAAAAATCAGATGAATTAATTTTTTTCATGGAGAGATCACAATGGCAAGCGCATTACTTCCTTTCAGAAAATTGTACTTCACCGAGAGCATGCCAGGACGGAAAACATGATATCTCTAAAAGTTGTTGATGCTATACAAGTACAACAATCCTTCTTCAACTGGATACTAAAATAATTATTCCAAAATTAGTGGGTGGCATTTTTGTGTCACCCTGTATGTATCTAATCCTAGATACACACACAAAATATTAATTAATTAATTCACACTACCCTACCACGTGACCACGTTTATAAGGGAAACAGGGTACAGCTAAGTTGCAAATGGAGGACGTGGGTTTAATTCCATATTTCTGAACGTAAAATACATTTTACATTTATTTCTAGTGTTCTACCAGACATAGAATTGATTCATCAAGCAGTTTGTAGAATATTGTTGGCAAAAAAACATTATACGCAAAGATAGATAATAGTGGGCGCAGTGAAGCAAAACTCAATGCAATACACGATACATTTCAGTAAATCTGTCAACGTACAGGGAGCATGTAAGTTTCCCTTCGAAAATGTTACATTGATATGTAACAAAACCCCAGTAAACTGTTATTTAAACTGCGTGTCATCGTGTTATATGTGGATACGTTTTCCAGTATGTTATTCAACTGTACTTTTGTGAATTAATTGTTTTTCTAAAATCTTAAGATGCAAAAAAGTCGTCCCAGAAATGTATCTTTACTTTGCCGAAAGGCATAACATATTGTGAAACATTTTTCCTCTTGTCACAAGGAGGATAATGTTTGTTTCGAGGTGTCTTGTGATGAGCGTTTCATGATTATAAAATGCAAAATCACTGGAGCAGATACCATCCAAAAACATCTGACATTCAACACGTCACATAAGACTACATCGATCTGGTATTAGTTTTTTTTACAATAATAGAGAAATACGACGTCATATCACCTCTACAGCAAATCGTGAAGAACAAAATGTCGTAGCATGATGGTATTTTGAACAAACTATTTTAAATGATCGGTTTTTGACGACGGTAGTGAATTAGACCATTCAAGGGGTTATATAGAAAGAATCTTTACATGTAGTTCACGCAATTTTAATTATTCTGAATAGCGGATAGTCATTAGTCCTGATAGCCTATAGTCATTTATCACTTACGTGTTCATATTTAATTTCGTTATTTTATTTCAATTTGATACCCTAGTAACACGTACAATCTAGCGTTCTTGTTAATTTAATGACTAAAATGCATATACGGTACGACCTGAAAGCCCGTGTCTAAATCTACTAATTAATGTTTACTTTATTTGGATTAAATAACAATTGATGACACCTCAAAGAATCAACAGGCGGCCTTTTTAGCATTATTTTCACTGTTTGCAACGTAAATATACATGAGATCGGGACATAGTATGTCTGTATAATCAGCTTACTTTCTCGCTCCCTGTACTATTGAACAATTTACATTCCTTGTACCCTGTATTGATCAACTTTTGCAGTTGTGTACCGTGTACTATGACATATCAAACATTTTAAAATTTAAAACGATATTATTTACATTCTTTCTTCAACTATCATATAACTTGGAACATGGACTTCACTATTGCACCACTGAAGTTCAGCGAATAGCAATATTGACTCACTTCGAGCACCAAACGTATTAACCTTTTGACTAAGCAGTCGATATACTCAAAAGCGACCTGATTGAAAGCCAAAAAATTCGCGCATGCGCTATCGAGGTAGGGTAGTGTGAATTAGAAAGAAAAGCAGTGACTTACCCCCCATCCTGTGCGACATTTACAAAAGTTCGGAGAAGTACATTGGCCATGGTCATTACAATCATTTAGGGACGAACAATCCGGTGTGTCGCAATTATCTCTCAACCATCCTTGATGGCATATGCATTTGTCACTTACACAGTCTCCATTGCCTGAACAATCGTCAGGACATACCGCATCTAAAACATTAATCTTAAATAACTGCCGGTTATGATACGAAACTAGTATTACCATACGATTATAATGTTACGAAAAAACAATTGCATTTTGTATAAAATATGATGTATTTCCATGGTGGTATATTTTTTTGTTTCATTCATGTCAAAGTTGAATTCTCGAACAATGTTTATAGTTGAAACGATTATGGTAGAAAAACACTCGAAATATGAAGAAACTTGAGGGATCATACTTACCGAGTGGCGTGAGTATGCCTATTAAAAGAGTAAAAGTTAGAGCGCACTTTATGATCATCATAATCCTACGAATATATCAGTTGAATCAAAAGTTGTCGGTGTTGATTATTGTCTGCTTGCGGACTGAAGTCGTCGATCTCATTCTGAAATATGTTGTTGAGGAAAATAGAATACAGGAATAAATTGCAAAAATTGAAAATGATTAAATCCTTGGTCCATCTCTTCTGTAAAAATAGATACAATTACAATATTTTGAAAATTAATTAGCCTAAGCCTTTTGAAAATTAATTAAGCCTAGCTATAAGATTGTACAAAACTAATGTAGAAAAAAAATATCGAAAATTTTGTATGATTTAGTTTATTGTTCTATGTCTGATTTAAATATTATCAATAGCAAATATAAAAACATAGCTTACTACAATTTCGTTTTCAACTACCGTCCGTTCATTCCAGTGCTGTAGTTACAGGCGAATGAAGACGAGTGATGATAGGCTGTTATTTAAATGACAAGATACTACTTCCTGGTTCCAGTCCCAAAGTAATGACTCAAGACAATTTTTCCGATAAAGTCGTTTCACATTGGCAATTGGATTCCATCCAAATGTATCCATTTGCGCACATCGTCAGGTAAACTCCCAACAATTTTGCAACCCTGACATTTGGATAGCGCTCAGTTCTAGGAATTTATTGTAGTTTTCAGTAATGTGCGAATCAGTGAACATTTCATTATCAGATATTTGTGAGCGAGAGGTCAAAATTCACCAGATCATGTTGAAAAAAGTAAAATAATTGACGAAATTCAAGATGACTATCCTTTGTTATAAAGGACCGGGTAAAGTATGGCAAGTGATTTTAGACTGTCATATCTTTATCCAGGAGTACGTTCTGTCCATAAATACAATGGTTTTTATTAAAACAACATATTTTCCTTCGGGTGAAGTCGCCATTATATTGAACAATATTGATCCAATTACGGATGAGGACCCCGCCTTGTCACTTTTTTTAAAATGTTAAGCTAGTAATGTACTGATATCAATAATAGCTAACATGATAAAAGCCACGTTCCTCATTTCTTTAGTTGTAGTAAACAACTTTTTTGATGGAGTATATTCCTTTTGTACGCCTTCAATTATTAAAACAAAATTTATTTTGTGTATGTATTCAAAATATGTTTACACCTTTGGAGGATGTGAGTTTTATTACGACGTAATTATTATGAATGTAAAAAATCAGGAACACCCATTGTCAAATAAATCGTCATGCCAGCATGCTGTGGGACGACTAGGCAATTTCTTATCTTTGGGAACTTTTGATCCTCAGAAGATGAAACTGGGAATGATAGGCCGGTACAGGATATCCTGGGGTATATTTTCAAATAAAATTCTGTGTCATTTTCTCAAATAGGATCGGCAATAAAATTAAAAAACTCGGTGCATTATTTACTGCATCATACCATGAAGGTGTTTCAAAATCTCTGCCTGACCGTGCTACGGGAATGAAGTTTAGGAAACAACGCCTGAGTGGAATGAAACAGCTAAAATGCATCGAGCCTTGGGCTTAAATTCTTCAAGGGTAATATTGGCAAAGCATCAATCATGTCAATTGCAATCTCATCACCTTAACGTCCATACACAACAAATGCGTTATTGATTATTTCATGCACTGCTGTCATGTAAACATACTGTGTTCGGATTGGCTGGAATCGAACACACCTTGCCTTGTCATGTGTGAATATATTATTTCTAACGGTAACTGGTCAACTCGTACCCAATACAACTTGTACCCAAGTATATGTTTTGTTTTGAATCAAGTGTTGGGCTGGGAATGGGTAAAGGTAAACCTATAATAATTATTACATACTGTTCAGAATAGTTTGAAGTCTGTAGAAGAATTTTCGGAAGAAATAGATTTAATTTTGTGACATTTGAGCCTTGAAAGTGTCAATCTATTTTGACTATTATTTTATATTGGTCACAGATTCAGGGTGTTTTAGGGAAGAGACCTATATTTATTCTATAAGTGGTATATTTGTATTTTTATGAGTGTTTGGAACAAGTGTCAGATCTCATTCATCTTGAAAGATGGTATTATTATAAACATAAAGATTTATCAAAAGTTTGGCCTAATTTCTTATTTAACAGATAATCTGTTTGTTTAGGATTTCATATTATCAGATTAAAAGTTGTCTAGGGTACGAGTCGTCTTGGGTACAAGTTGTCTTGGGTACGAGTTGACTAGGACTGTAGGAAGCTTTCTAACGACTCAAATTAAGCTAAAGCGAGTGATAATACTACTATAAGACATTATCTTCATAGTTTCAATTGAGAAAAATGTCTAGCATTTGGTTTTCTGATAATCTTGGTGAGGAAGTAGCGTGGTCTGCCTGGCTACGCCCACGCATATTTAATACATCTTTCAGTCTATAGACGAGTAATAACAAACCATTTTTTACTTCAAACTAAACAACAATCAAACAATTTTGTAAATATCAAATATGGAAATGTGTATATGTATACAAATCATTTTTATTTGATTTTCTCCACTTTTTCAATAATATGCAATTCATAAATGTGTCAAAAGTTACATATAAATGTAGTGTTTACTATTTGAACACACATAAATTATAGATACAAATTACAAGAAATACAAACAAATACATTATTTTTGATAAAAGATGGTAGCAATTGCAAATACGTTTAGAATAATTTTTGAGGGACTTTTAAGTGTTTACACATCTGATCTGGCGTATAATAAATTAGAATTATTTAACCAGTTTCAAAACAATTAAGTTGAATTCTAATGAATACATAATAACAATATAACAAGCTTGGAACATATGGTATCAGCCTGGAGACAAAATGCTGGCTTTATGATATAGTTTGCAGCATATTCTAGCCTTACTTCTGCATATGATAAAGTCTACCCCTATCTATTTCAAATTCAGATGTTACTTTGCAGGGGAGGGGGTCACAAGTCTTTGCAAGCTTGAAACACAACTTACACCCGTTAGATGATTTCAAAAACAATTTTTACTGAAATAGTGAATAGTTGTGTAATCCTTGCTTTGGCCTTGTTACATGTACACAGTGCAGATCTAGACAAAAATTTGAGTACATTTACTCAGTTGACTTTTGACTTTCAAATTAAGGACTTCTGACTTCATATCATTTTGGTCCCATCAGATAAACTATGGTAAGTACCGAGGCAGCATTAATGGTTAACCAATCAACTGATTCTTATTTGAAACACAGCGTCTTGATAATTTAGTTTTAGCTTAGCTTATTTCTAATGATAGAAATAATATTTAATCATATTTTTGTTGTTGTTCGATAATACTTAATATGAAAACTGGTCTATTTTTAATAATTGCACTCAAATAATACAAATACATGTTAACACAATGTTATGCCAATTGCTAATTGCAGAAATACATCATGAAAATACTGGAGAAAATGTTGACATCAAATCTCCATTATGTTTTTTATGTCAATAATACATGTAGTACATGATGTAATAAATTTACTTGAACGACGTGAAGGTACTGACGAACGTATCTCCATCACCTTCACCCATGAGCACTCAACATTCACAAAAACAGAGATGATAAGAAAATGTCAATATGATCAACTCAAGTCCTGACCTGTGTTGTTGTTTGATGCCTGATGGGGTGTAGTTACCATTAGCAACAATAACCATTAGATACAGCTTCCACACGATATTCTTTGTGGATGATATTAAGTCACAGAATCTGCGAATTTCATAAAAAGTGTTACAAGTCCTGATAGTTAGTTCACAACTACAATAAAGTACATTTGGCCTTTGTTTTCTTCTTTACTTGAAGAGCGGCACGTGTTGCTGTTTCGAAAACTTCTCTAACACCATCTTTGGTTTTGGCGGAACATTCAAGGTAGGCAAATGCATCAATTTTGTCAGACATCACTCTAGCATCCTCTGGTCTTACTGGTTCTTGCTTCATTTTCATAAGCTCTCGTTTTGTATTTTCATCATTTCGGAGATCTTTTTTGTTTCCAACTAAAATGATTGGCACTTTTGGACAGAAGTGCTTCACCTCAGGGGTCCACTTCTCGGGGATATTTTCTAAACTGTCGGGGCTGTCAATGGAGAAGCACATTAGGATGACATCAGTGTCAGGGTAGGAGAGAGGTCGAAGTCGATCGTAGTCCTCTTGTCCAGCTGTATCCCACAAGGCTAGCTCAACCTGAAAGCACATAGTGTTAACATCATAAATAACAATTTTATTAAACGTTGTACATTCATTGTAGAATCTGTTCTTTGTTATCACAGCAAGCGAGTCACAGGAGTCAAGAAGGGTACTTCAGACCTTTTTTCAGGACAGAACTTATATTGGATTACCAAGGTATGAAGTCTCAATTGAAAATCAAACTGGTAAACGAGAATGGACAAAACTCATATTATATTCAACTTACCTCCTTCATGTCCCAATATGAATATATATGTCCAGGTGAAATTTACGCTGTTTTTTGCACTCATTTTGGAAATTAAAGTACAAAAGACCCATAATTTTCTAATATAATTTCCATTTTAAGACTTATTAATTTAATAGAAAATATATATCATGGCAATTTTCACTTTTAAAAAATTGACTTCTCATTCCCTAATCAATTTGAAAAACAATATAACACTTTTCCAAAGTGCTATATGAGGTAGTGTCCATTACTTATAGCTCAGAGCATAGGGTAACTTCACGTCAAGAATTGGTAAAAATCCATATCAAGTTGAGTTTTAGTGTTAACTATGAACATAACTCAAAAATCCATTTCACATTAGTTTGTTTTAAATATAATTCAGTATGTTACACAATTAGTTAACAATTAGTCCATCTTTGCTGTGAAAACTTGTCCAATGGTGATACAGTGAATTCCTAATAATTTGCAATTAGAATAGAAGTCATTTATGAGTCCATTTAATCAGTCACGGTAGGACATTTTGCTGAAAACATTTATATTCTAAGAAGAAAATGCTACAAGGCTCTGCAGAATTCCACTTTTTATTTTACTAATTCTTTGAAGCACATGACTATATATATTGTTTTTTTAAATCTGACCAGTTTGCAAGTTATTGCTGTAATTCAAAAATGTCACAAGAGAAGTTTCCAATAGTTTGCTGTATGTTATGCCATGACATCCATACTCAAATAGAAATCGCCAACTCCACAAAGAAGCAAATCCAAACTAACACGATATTCATGAATCTATATGTCGAAAAGTAATTTTAGAATTCCCAATGATTTAATGGGGCGACCATTTAGGGGTTAAGGGCAAATCATCGAGACAATACAATATTTGAGATCTTATATAGTAGGGCAATGTAACCATACTCTGAAGACATAGGAAATTCCTGCTCAAGGCAGTCATTTTAAATTATCTTGAGCACGAATCAGTAAAACAATGTACAATAATTGTGACCTATTACCAGACTTTGAAGAGATCAGAAAAGTATTGCAAAATCCCACATTAGGTGGCCATTTTGAATTTCACGAGTCCCAAATCAGAAAAAGGATACAATTTTTGTAATCTACTATAAGTGCCTTTCATTTAGGTAAAATTAAAATTTCTGTTTTCCCGACCCCCCACATACACACAGCCCCTTGGGGTCAGCGTGAAAAACGCTGAATATAAATGGAATATACTAGCAAAATTCTAAACATCATATCAATTACTTTGGTTTAAAATTAAAAACTTAAGATTTTAGCAAAAAAACAAGCATACTAAGAAAATTTCTACACTAGATATAGTATTCAAGTTATCTTCCAGACGGACTGACAGACGGACAGAGGGCTTCACCATATCCCTACCGAACTTTGTTAGTTGGGGTAATAAAAGATATTGATCGGCGTCTAGTCAAATTTAAATCAAAATTTTTCAGTAATCCTTTAGTACATGTTCCATCACTTTGGCAAAACTGTTGGAATATTAAAATCAACAAATATATATGATGTCTTTTTAAGTTTCAAATCAATCTGACCTTTACTTCACCTGTGTAAAATCCTTTCTGTAATTTTCCAAGTTAAATAATAATACATATGAAAATATTAAATATTCATACATGTTTATTGTAAGAAAACGTATTCACTATACAAAAGTAGGTTATGCTACATTATGATAGTACCAGTTAAGATTAAATTCTTGTCTGGATCCTGAACACTGAAGTGTCATCATCTAAATGTTGCCCACTAAGCTATAGCAAGCAATGAAAATTGAACTAAATAACACTTGATGCTCAAATACACTTTTGAATGATGATTACATTAAAGTAGATATATTTAAGAGGGTTTTAAGCACATATTGATTTTGAGTCTACATTATACTTCATTATATGTCAAAATGGGTTTATATATTTTTCAGGGGAGTGATTTGAAATTCTGGGGAACTTGGAGACCTTTTCCATGTTTACCTAATGGGAAAAAACCTGTCAGGTGTTATAAGTTACCTTTATGCGAATTCAAAGTGACACAAATTGAATATAAAAAAATTGAATTGGAAATATAAATAAATAAAAAAGGAGACACAACTTATGTCTTGTATTTTTGTTCATATTAATTTACTTGAATTGTTAATCTTACAATCTCCCGATACTTGATCTGTTGGTAGACTATTTACAAATTACTGAGAATAAAATACATTTACAATAATACAGTGCAGGAAAACAACCTGTCTTGATAGTGCAGTCAAGAAACACCTGCATAAGTGGAACACTTCAGAGTCAAATGACAAGTTGACTTAACGTTAATGGAACCTTTGGAAGTGTTGAACACCACCCAAGAGGAACATTTTAAGAAGTACCAAAAGTTTTCCACTTACACAGGTTTTACTGTACCATGATGTAAACTGTTTGATGGGTTCAGGACATGCTCTATTAACATGCAGATCACAAGTCTGACTTAAGGTATAACCCTGCAGGACTCACTAACATATTTCACTGTAAAATTTTTGTTTACCCCATCATAGGGCTGATTGTTTAATGTTTATACAATAATAATAATACAATTATATTTCAAGTTACAATAACCTCAGTAAATAACAATAGATGACCAATGACCTGATATTCTCACAAACTATACAAGTGTCTATATGCAACAAATTAATGCAGTTATCATGTATAAGGTATCTTAATAGGTCACGGATGGACAATCAGGAGTGTTTGTCAATCCTTGGTATACATGACAATGACAATTCATGGTATAACACTCATTGGATCATTGGATCTAAGAAAATAAATGCTTAAGATCATTCTAAGGCTTTCCACCCAAATTCTCTGTATATATTGCCTTCCCCTAATCAAACTCTATTTGTCAACTTCAAAATGAGCACTGATGTTGAACAAAAATTCTCTTACTAATCTGAAGCAAAAATGCATAAATGTACAAAACAGTTTTAACTGTGTGGTTTTTAAGAATCTCTTTCTAATGCTACATTCAAAAAATATATCACTACTAAAATACAATTGCGTTTTTCACTACTGCTGAAATGACTCCTGGTTTTTCATTAGTTTGTCATGGAAAAGGATAGGGAAGTGTTCACACTAATACTGATCATCTTGTCTTACCAAGGATATGTGTTTGTTAACATATATCATTGGTAACACTAATAACTCGAGCTTTCATGATGAAAAAAATGAAAAACAAGAGAAATGCCATAACAGTGGGGCCCAAGACAAAATTTCTATTTACAAGTCTGGCCATACACATGTTGACATACATTCCAAAAACTTATTAACATATGTGCGTTGAAACAATTTTTGCTTCCAATTTGCTTCATCAATAGCACAAACAAATCAATGTGAAACCATGAGTTTGACTAATATTTAATTTATAAAATGAGTTATATTAAAAGGTAACTCCAGGACACAGAATAGAAAGTTTATAGAGGGCTAATGTCAGTCTTGTGTACTGTCCCAAAGATATAAAATGCCCGCAGTTAGGTTTAATGAGAGATGAACATATCCTATAGATATCAATAATTCTATCCATGTTTTAGATGAGTGTTTGTGTTGTCTGCATACACTGAAGTCCTGAAACAGTCCATCAGTCGAGGAATTGGATGAAGAATTCTAGTGATGATTGCCATAATACCTCGACTGGCAACCATTAATGACATACATTTACACTTCAATACACCACGGTGAGTATGATACAAACATAGATCCATGCAACACCAAAAGTTCAATTCTTTTTCGATTATAGAATCATACACTTCGCTCTCTTTTTTTTCTTAACTTGAAGTGCTGCTCGTGTGGCAGTTTCAAATACTTCTCTAACACCGTCTTTTGTTTTGGCAGAACATTCTAAGTAGCCAAAAGCATTGATACGATCTGCCATGGTACGTCCTTCTTCAGGTTTCACTGGCTCTTGCTTCATTTTGCGTAACTCCCTTCTTGTGTTTTCATCATTTCGAAGATCCTTTTTGTTCCCTACGAGGATAATTGGGACATTAGGGCAGAAGTGCTTCACCTCTGGCGTCCACTTTTCAGGGATATTTTCTAAACTGTCGGGGCTGTCGATGGAGAAGCACATTAGGATGACATCAGTGTCAGGGTAGGAGAGAGGTCGTAATCGATCGTAGTCCTCTTGTCCAGCGGTATCCCATAATGCTAACTCAACCTGGAAGGATAAAAGTTATATTTAGATAATGGATTAAAATTACTTAGTTTAAAATACAAAATAAAATGAAGTGTACAAATACAAAGGATTTGAAAGTATTTGCAAATTGATATAAAACAAATATTTAGTGCCAAATATTGAAAATCATAAGTATATACATGTACAACACTAACTATAGGAAAGAAATTATATAGATATATGGTAGATGTTAAGACAATCCCATGCAAAATATTTTAGTGAGTATCAAACAGTTTTAGGGAAACTAAAGATGTATATAACTACATGAATATTAAACACCAATAGTTGCACATTCTTTAGGCCGCTACAAATGAATATTTGAGTATTTAATTACAGACAATTTTAGTGACCCAACCCTAATATAGTTCCCACAATTGTAGCTCTTTGTAACTCGTACCAGCTATGAAGAATGAAACAAACATATTTTCTGAAATTATCAAGGTTTAGCTTAACCATCACAACAGGGAGTCCATAAAAAATTGTAAATGGACCTTAGTATTTTCCTCCCTATGTGAAAATCTGAGCGCATACTAACAAATTCATTAGTGAGACACTAGAATCATCAATATAATTCTTCAAGTATGTTACGGAATGAAAAGTTAAAAAGAGCAGATGTTAACCATTGTTAACTGCTCCGTTTATGTACCATAAGTTAGGTCATGAGGAATTATAATGATGATAACATCTCCTGGATTAATTTGTTCATAAACAATTAGATTTTCTTAAACATGTTATGCTGATACATGTTTGTGCCAAAAAGGTGTTGAAAATTTTGCTTACATAATTGTGTTTTATCATGGTCAAACAGATCAGATATTGTAACCCCATTGTTACAGAAAGGAATGTTTATATCTATTGATGGTGACATTCATGATTATGTTAAGGGGACTACTTCAATGTTTATGTTGTCTCTTTTTTGTGGTTTTGTGATCTGCTATTTTTCAATAACATGTGTTTTTAAGGAGTATTCTTGTCAACAGACACTAAAAGGAAAGCCAAAGTTTGAGAGTATACAAAAGTGTAATATGGATGGACTATTGATTTTCAGATTCAGATGATGTAGATGCAAGTTTTAATGACAAAAAATTTAAAGACAATAAATACAAAGAAAGAATGGTGCAATGAACAAGTGGTTGTTATTGTATGGTTTGTCCCTAAAATGTGTTTGATGTATACAGGGTGGCCCAAAAATTGGAACATTTTTCCATACATTGTAACTTTTTTCTTCATCATGTATTATCTTTAATACTTTAGGAGATTGAAAAACAATTCATTGTCAACAGCTTGTGTAATAGTGCTTGCAGTTATGGATCTCACTGCCGGTAAATTTTACCGCCATTATCTTGCTGTTACTGATAATCGTTGATACTGATAATGATTCTAAAATCCAGGGGAAAAACCTGAAAGTGAAACTAATATATTTAGAAAAATCCTTAAAGAAGCCGATTTCTCAGCTTGATTTCCCGCTTACATCAACTGCAGTGGATATATTGTATCATTGTGTATCTCATGTGTGATTGTGTTTTGTAAGAAGTCTTTGAAACGATAATAAAGAGTGAATTCGATCAAAATTGATCAAACTATTTGCGTTTGTTTTTTACTTCGCTGAAATCTCTCGTCACTTGATTTGTACATCTTGCGGCGTGGGAGATGATTGACAGAAGAGGGTGGGTTTTTGCTTATCCTCCCGCCTTTTACGAATGCTGTGCAGTTGATTGACAGATTAGCTCTTCAAATGTGGAGACTAAAATATACATGATAAAACATTCTTAAAAATCATCATGTTGCAGCAGTGTGGCGATTATCAGCAATGGATTTTATTGCCAGCAATTGAGAGTATCTACTGCCGCTGCCGACAATCGGCATTACCGTAAGGCACTATTGTGTTAATATGAATATACAAGCTCAACATTTAATTACTAAATGCAATGGTTTCCTGAACAATGAGTCTGAGCTGTATTTGACAGTTATACATGGCTTAAATGACAAGTTTTGAGAAATATTGTGCTAGTTATGAAAAAACTGAGGTCAGTTATGCTATATTATCCAAGGTAGATGTGTCTTGCTTCTCGTAGAGATAACTACTGTACATATGTTTTAATTGATAGGAAATATTTTGAGACCATTTGAAGGTAATATATTGTAAGGTATGAAAGATACTGTATTTTCAGCAGTGACGTCTCAAGCAGAGAAAATTTGGTTATTTTTCATGACACACTCAGTATACAGGTCATTGCCATGATAATCCAAAAATAAGTACTACACATACAGATATTTCTTATAACATTTTCACAAATAATAATTTTACCATTATCTGGATAATTTTTGTGGATTGCACTACAATAATAAAGACTGTTGAATAAATACAAAAATGTTCCAATTTTTATTGGCCAACCCAGCAGAGACTATAGTTTGCCATAGTTTTATGAATAAGTTCTGATTAGTGAAGACAGTTGATGGTTGAAATGTAAAGGCTAGCTTGAGGGAAATATATCATGCATATGGGCAATTTTGCACAAAATAGTGGGTCTATATACTATGGTATGGTTCTACACTAGACATGCAAAGGAATAACTCAACTCAAATATGCGAAATTCAAAGGGTACAATAAATACAAGTACTTTCTTCTCAACAAAAATATTACAATTAAGATTGCCCAATGGTAACAGAACAATTGTAGGTAAATGATATGTTGAGCATATATTATCATACTGAAGCAAATAATACGGTTCACAAGACTCAATGAAAAACTAAACATGAGATGAACTAAGGTATATTAGACTAGTTGGGTACAGGATCAAGAAATAACTAACAATGTATTCTATATTCTACCAAGGTCATGCAATGCTTATAATTAAAATAGTTATATACAACTCACCGATAGTTTTTGAAAAAAGAAACCAAAAATGTCCGACATCTTGGAAGTGAAAAAATAATTCCACGATAGTAACCATAGTAACAACACCCAAAGCTGAAGATAAACTCTAAACCAGGAAGTGTGAAGAAAGAAAATCAAAAGAAATTTGCCAATCCAATATGATTCTTTGATTAAGAGGCACATATCAAGTAAAATGCTTATCATGTTTAAACTTTGTATGCATCAAATGGATTGACAAATCACTTCAAGGAAAATTCAGGTTATTAACAATGGTACAATTAACAACATCAATTTAGGAATATACATATATGTACAAGTATTGTACGCAAAAGCAATTTGTAATGAGGATCAATCATTACGTCAGAATTCATTTTATTATCAACAATATACACTTAATAAAACATTGGAAAGGAATTGAAGCCAAAGCTAAAATGGAAAGTTGAATTATTCAGAAAATCAGAGTTTAAAAACAGAAAGTATGGCCAATGGATATTCCAGAATTTTAGTGCCAACATGTTGTACATATAAAGCATTTTGCTCATTGAAAAATATATCAATGATTTTTTTCAATTGAGGACAAGGGAAAAGTTTCTAAGGCCAGAAATCATTTCTTCATGGAGCCAGTAAGAAAATATTTAAGGGCAGACCAAAATTTCAATTTAGTTTTATACACAATATTTTTGCCATACATAAACAGATAAACTTGTGGTCAGTTGTGGTCATCTTATATTAAGAAAATATTTTTAAGTTGATAAAACTTCCAAAAATTGATATCTTCACATAAATTAAGTAAGGAAACTCTTATTGAGATTTTTATCTTGCCCCCAAAATAATTTACAAATAGTGTCAAGCACAAGTTATCACACTTACATGAAGCAATTATAGTAAAAGTAAGTACATCTATTCATCTGACAAAACACTAGTAAGGTAATACTACTTGCCTGTTTGCCATCAACTTCTATATCAGCAACGTAATTTTCAAAAACTGTGGGGACGTATACTTCAGGGAACTGGTCTTTGCTGAAAACTATGAGTAAGCAGGTTTTACCGCAAGCACCATCACCTACGATAACAAGCTTCTTCCTAATCGCTGCCATTTTGTATGAGTCGTCTTCACTTTCTGCAAATATACAATTATCATAAGATAAGTGGAAAGAAGTGGTACTAGCAAAAATGAGCATTAACAATTTGGCAATTCCAATCCTCACATAAAACAAGATTTAACTAGTGACTTAACTAGTGACATCAGTCTACTCTATTTGTAAACAAATAACACGTGGAGCGGCAGGTGGAGCAACATTACAATTCAGTTTATTATTATTCAGGTAATTATTATTATTATCCAGATCGATTTTACGTCATATATAGTGAATAGAGGGGGGATATTCATGAAAAAAGGCCAAGCTGATGGAGTGATCATGTGTTTAGGTTAAAAGTTAAGTTCAAAAATTTGCAAATCTCGTGAACCCAAATGTCCTTGACATTGGTTGTGTGAGCTACTTATTGAACATATACTGAAGTTTTGGTGACTTTGAACATTTAATTATTTTATATCAATTTGTACCCGCCTTATACAAATAGTTTTGCTTCTAGAGTCCATTTCACTGCTTCATTTCGTCAGTAGAATGGCAAAAATAAGAAATTGGGAGACCATTGTGCAATAATATATGAAAAAGTGTATTCATAATGTACATGAATGACATTTGTATATTTCAGATTTTTTAGTTTTTTGTGCAATAAGCCTGTGCCGTCTTGTAATTTGAGAATTTCAGCCATGTTAATCTTATTGAAAATAACATGGCAGAGAAACATCCAAATATAAGAGGCCACACACTTTATAAGCCAAACTAGAAGCAATCCAAGATTATACATTATGAATATACTTTTCCATATATTATTGCACATTGGTCTCCCAATTTCTTATTTTTGCCGTTCTACTGATGAAATGAAGCAGTGAAATGAACTCTAGTTTGAGATGAAAATCTCTTCAACATATTCACCGATTTTCATCGTGAACATTCTTGTAATAAACGAGAAATTTATATGCACAAAACATCGCTGAGATTTCCATGGGACGAATATCAATATATACTAGAGTCCATTTCACTGCTTCAGTTCGTCAGTAGAACGGCAAAAATAAGAAATTGGGAGACCATTGTGCAATAATATATGGAAAAGTATATTCATAATGTACATGAATGACATTTGTATATCTTGGATTGCTTCTAGTTTGGCTTATAAAGTGTGTGGCCTCTTATATTTGGATGTTTCTCTGCCATGTTATTTTCAATAAGATTAACATGGCTGAAATTCTTCAAATTACAAGACGGCACAGGCTTATTGCACAAAAAACTAGAAAATCTGAAATATACAAACGTCATTCATGTACATTATGAATATACTTTTCCATATATTATTGCACAATGGCCTCCCAATTTCTTATTTTTGCCGTTCTACTGACGAACTGAAGCAGTGAAATGGACTCTAGATGACCTCTAGGGTAAGATGTTCTCATCAATTTTATAATGTTGATGGGTGTGTCCCTATTTTTGAACACCAAAACCCTGAAACATGGTCAAAAGTAAGCAAATAAACATATTTAGGCACACAGATCTGTTATATCTAGACACCACAATCAGTATGCTCTAAGCTAGAGATGCCTAAATATATGAGAAAAATACAAGGTTCTTGACAAAAAGGTCAAAATCAAGGAAGTAAACTTACAAACACTCATTGTCATTTCTATGCTTTCTTCAGGTCATTATTCAAAAACAATATATCATGTTAGAAATTAATGTTAAATCTGTTACAAGGAAAGCAATGAAAAAGCAAACGTTTAAAGATATTATGAGGAAATTAGACGATATAATTTTGATGTTTCTAAAGATATTCATGATGTCATCCAAGATGGCGGTCATCCTGGAATTTGAAAAAAATGTATACATGCATAAGAACTTTATTTTCACGTTTTTCCGTTCGTGCGATGAACTGCATATAGTTCTGATAATTCAATCAGTTCAAGAAAAACTACATTTCACCTTTGTCTAGTCTCTATGATACACACTGCTTGCAGATGAATCATTTCTTTCGATAAAATTTCACAGATAAAAATATTTCCGGATTTTTGATCACCTTCATAGTGCTTTTATGTCAATTAAAGGACTCCAATTACAAAAGTTATCATACTATGTGATACCTATTCGTAGTATTTCATAAATTTGCACACATACCTTTGTAATTATAATGCTATACACCTGGAAGAAGCTTTTTTTGTAAAGTCGAAATGTTTCAACCGTTTTGACCACACCTCAATTCGTCCTAGAGGGTACCACTGAAATGAACGAATTGCTCCAGATGACGTCATTTTAGGGAATTGTGGGATATCAACTGAGCATCGAAATATCAGTTTCGTTTTAAATAGTATAGCGGTTTAGATGTTATCTCAGATGTAAACCGGCAAGGAAGCTGATTTTCAAGTTACAAGTGAATCTAAACCGATATACAGATAAAGAGTAATACATATAAAAATTTCAAACAGACTTACCTTGTTTTGAACAACAAAATAATCTTCGGGACATCTGTATGTCCTTCAGCTGGCTACTGAGTCACCGGATTCTGAATGGCCAATGGCCAAATACTCCAATTCAATGTTAGGCCCAACCACTTTTTTAAAACACTTAAATTGTGGACGGAACTTACTTATGTATATTTATTTATTTCACAGTCACTCAGTTATATAGTCACAAGAGACGATTTCTAAAAATAGACCAAATTGCCAACCTGCAAGCCGATTAGTCATCATTAAAAATAGAATGGCTGCCCAATGCTTTGATTGGATAGCAATATTATCATGGGGCTGAGATCGAAAGATTTGGCCGTTGTGACGGAGCATGGTACTTTTCATAAAAACACTGAGAAAACTTCACAATTTTAATTTTTAACTAGTAGGTACCTTACTAAAAAAATTACCTACCCCATGCAATGGATACTGCATCGCCATTTGCGCGTAACGGTCTCATTTCAAAATTAAGTTCAATAACGCTAGAAGTATACCATTTGCATTCGTTCACTTCTAAAAAGAGAGTTGATAACTAGACTCTGCACGCAGGGTACTAGGAGTAATCCATAGTGCTACACTCCCCTCCATAAGTTTGGCAACCTTAGCACCCCCATTGAACTGCGTGTTAAAGCCTCTTTTTTATTTACTTAACATGCGATGAAAATTTTTTAAATTTTTTCCTCAATTACAATAGGTCGAAAATTGATGATAAATTTGATGAATTTTTGAAAATCGACATTCCCATGTTAACCAATGGAAAATGATAGGTTTGCCGCAAGTCATATGACATGACAGAATAATGAATATCCATCCATCCAAGTCCTTGCAAAAATACAAGTTAGGTAGGCAATTGAATTGTCTAACTTTATTTAACAAAAAATTGATTTCGTTCTTCAGGATCAGCAAAGTTATACGTCTTTAAAGTCAAAATTATTTTTCAAAAACCTCTTCCAATGAAACAACACAGGAGGCGAAAAATGATTTTCAAAAATGACTTTGAACACTGGTGATCCACTCGATTACGCTGGTTACCAAAACGGTTCGTTTTGGTAACAAAATGTCGGAACATCGAGAGGTGTGCCTGCTACCGCTAAGCAAAACCTTCCCTTTAGGATTTGCGTTAGCACCCACAAAATGTTTCTCCTTAGCAGGCCCGTAGCCAGGATTTGCCAAGGGGGGGTTCATTTTTCAAAAATTTCCAGGGGGGTTCACAATTGACAATTTTGGCCCAAATATGGCTAAAATCACTTGAGAAGTGCTCAAAATTGTGAAAAACTGCATGATTTTGAAAGAATTTTTGGCCAGGGGGGGGGGTTCACCCGAACCCTGCGAACCCCCCTGGCTACGGGCCTGCTAAGGGTTGCAACATATCTGCCCTTGGTCCTGGTGTTACAGTTGCATTCGTTCCTAAGTCATTATAAAGCCAAGAGCTTTCGCTTCTCTAAATTTAATTTAAATTAAAACAGGCTAAAATGGTACTTGGAAAGAATATTGCTCTCTTTGGATTATGCGCAGCAGCTTTGATTGCATTTTCATCAGGTAAAATACGAATTGTGCTGTTTTTATCATTTTCAGTATTTGATATAACATTAAACACTTGTTTTCGCGAATAAAAATAATGATATATTCATGTAGTGACATATTTACTATAACAACTTTGTATTTTAATTCTTTAAAACTACGTTTTGACAATTTGTTTACATGCATATTTATGTTTTGTGAACATTCATATGTTTTAGAAAAGGTACATGTTTGCGAACAAATAGCTCAGAAGACAACAGAATCGTCGATTTAATTCCTCACTTAAGTTTGGGTTAAAAGTGCAGATTTTAACTGTTTTTCGAAAAAACGTTTATGTAACTTAAGTGAGAAATTAAATATACGATTCTGTTGTCTTCTGAACTATTTGTTCGCAAATATGTGAACATTCATTTCTCGAAATTGTTAGGTATTCAATAGTTCTGCTTCATCCTTGAAGTGTTGCATCGTGTGTTTTTCGATAATCAACATTCATGATTTGATTGCTCATTCAGTTGCCGATGCTAAGAGTTGGTGGAAGCAAAAGAAATTCTCAAAGAGCCAGGTAAGCCCAAAGTCAGTAAGTTTCCAAATTCGTTGAAACGTGAAATATGCAGTATATTCTTCATACGAGATAAGATAGATATCCACGTATTCCACGAAAAACAGCTAGTCGATCATAAATGCATATTCTACAGATTTGACAACAAATAAATGATAACATTCAGTATCGCATATCACTAAGGTCCTGGGTTCATAATTACTTGCGAGGATATCTATTGTTTCTAGGGAGTGGGTTGGATAATTTTGTATCCCGCTATCACACAAGCCAGGGGCATACAACTAGACAGTAAGCCTATTTATGTCCATGCCGATATCGCTGCATAAACTAAAAATGGATTTTTATAAGATCAATTTTAGCTTCACACAAGAAACATTGATATACGTTAATATTTGATATGTATGATATAATACAATTGTTTAATTTGAAAAAATATTTTATTTCAATATTTCAAATTCTTAGATTAAACAGGCAATGCGCTTATTTTTGAAGGAAAAAGGACAAAATATTATTTAAGACATGTCACTCACACAGTCAATCAAATATGATAAAAACTTTAATTTGGGTCAATACTGTAGTGAAAAAAATTACTCGCATAGAAAACATCATTTGAAGTTCAGAGATAAAAAGAAGTGAATTACCACTTTTCACTAAGTGTATGTTTTTAAATAACTCTTGGACTAAAAGATGGCGTATGGTTGAAAATCCTATCAAAAATGAATGGACAATTAATGCGAACTCCCGTGCAGTGATATATCACTGCGGCGGGCAGGTATCTCACCGTAAGCATGGTAACATCGTAATAAACAACTGACGTGATTGGTTCTAGTCCCATGCTCAGGTCGCGTGATTGTAAAATTTAGACAATTTCATTGGTTGAATTGCGCGTATTAACTAATAAACAACACGTGCGGTAAACTTTTATCAACACAACTTTTACTAAGAATTCCTTCCGCGGGGATTTCCTCTTATATTTCATTGATTTTGGAATATTTTGACAAAATAATTGTTGGTGAACATAAAAGAACATATATTTTATAAGTTGTGTGAAAAACAAGTACATCTGTGAGAAAAAGGGGGACTATATTCCCCAAATTTCGGGGATTCCATAATCTGCCCGCCGCAGTGTCTATACCGAGACACTGCATAGGAGTTCGCAATTAATGCAAACAACAATGCCATCTTTCTATGGCATTGCTAAAAACTTGACATCTATAAATTGATAGTTCAAAAAAATTTTCATGATCTAGTGTCAACTCCGATGTGGTCTGTTTGAGCTGTTTTTGGTGTCAAATGAAAGATCAGGTACTTATTAATCCATTGGAAATACTATGAAGATCAAAAGTGAGACTTCATTTACGCACTTTATCCAATTTTTAGAGATTAGAAATTAGAATGTACAAAGAACCATAGTAAATTTTGGACACATCTCTTACCTATAGACTACACAGTACAGGGTTCATCCCGAGGGAAATTTGTGTATCTCCCCAGATCATCCTTGCTGCAAGGGTATTTTACAAGTATATGAATTTAGGCATAAATGAAGTCCTTTGAAGAAGGATGCCCCAGATAGCACGGGGCCGTATTATTGTTTATTGTTTATTCCGAAACCTCTATATGTTTATTGTTTATTGTCTAAACCTCCCAGTACACGGCCCTTATAGGTAGTAAGCTAGCACCCAAAAATGTATTAGTTCGTGAACAAATTGAAATTACTTGTTTCTTATGTATTTTTATGTGATACTTCAGAAAATGTTTGTCTGACGCGCCGTATCCGGGGCGAAAGTTGTCAAATTGGCGTTTTCGACCCTAAAATGGAAAATTACAGGGGGTACTTTATCATCATAGAATAAATCATTCAGTTGGTCTTAAATCATCATAATAATTTTATGGGGAGTTGATTGGATCATGCTGAGGTAGTATGTTAAGTTTCAATCACCTGTCACTCATGGTTGTCATGGAAACCACAATTTTCATTGAAAAATCCTTAATTTTGGCAAAACCTGTACAGGTACATAATATAGAATGTGGATTTTTTTTCAAATCAACAGATATAAGAATATTTTAGCACACCCAAAATTGCCAGGGAAGTTTAAGCATTTGTTTAAGCATAAAGGATATTGCAATTTATATAATTGGTAAGTGTCAAAGACCATACTACTACATAAGTGATCAAAAGTGGGCGTCGCCCCCATATTAGTAAATGAATACCATTCTCTGAAAAGACAGAGTTTAACTTGACTTTTGAGATACATTTATATCGAAGTTCTTTGAATATACTTAATATCATGCATTTCTGGTAAATATAATGTACCAGTACATCTAAGTGTAAGGTTGTTGCATGGGGAGCGGGGGGGGGGGTGGTAGTAACAGAATTTGGATGGGGCAGAGCTAATCAGCCTTGGTATAATTCTGATTTATATAGTTCTGGATTTTCAAAGGTTACATCTTCTGGGTCTTCTTCATTTTCATTTCAATAGGGCCTATATGGGTACTACATTTTACATGATTGGTGCCAAAGACCATACCATTACATAGGTGATCAAAAGTAGGCACTGCTCATCACCTTCATAATAGTAGATGATTACCATTCTCTATAAATGCAGGGTTTAAGTAGAATTTTCGAGATATATATATATTTATCATTTATACTTCTTTGATTATATACTTAATATCAACCATTTCAGGTAAATAATGTACATCTCACTGGTGTCAGTTGAGAAGATATTTATAGTTTTCAATGACTTAAGCTACTTTATAGTTGATGTAATACTTTGATATTTGAACTAAACCAGGCTTATATGGCATATACCATCGCTCGATACTGACCAGTGACACCTGAGTTTTATAGTTATTGCATGAGAGGCAGGTTGAGAGAGGGGGGGGTGGGCTAGTAATAGAAACTGGAAGGGGGCAGCGCTAATCAGCTTCAAGTATAAATCTCATAATACTTCGTTCTGGATTTACTAAGGAACATGTACATCTTCTAGGTCTTCTTAATATTCATCTCAATATATAGGATATTACAATAAACATGATAGGTTAGTGTCCAAGACCAAACAATTACATAAGTGATCAAAAGTGGGAATCATCCCAACAACAGTATATGGTTCATTCTCTACAAACAGAGGTCAACTTGAGTTTTAAGATCATCCAGTGATCTCCCCAGGATTTCTTCTCAGGTGCCGTACCAAATTTTCATTTTCACAATTCAGACCAAAATTGGTCAAAATATGCCAATTTTTCATGATTTTCTCACTTTCATGTGGGTGCATATGGATTTTCAGGTGGGTGCAAACATATTTTCAAAATCTAAGGTGGGTGCTGCACCCACTTGCTTATGCTTGGAAGATCACTGTCATCTATACTTCAATCATTTA